CAGACCAGATAGAATGCCGTGCTCATAGACCCGAAAGGGATCCAGATAGTACGTTAAATTGATTCTTATTATTATTAGGAATATATACATTTCAGACATTTGAGCCCCGAATTCAGCGCGTTGTGGTCATAAAATGGGCGATATCGCGTTTTCTGGTGGAATTGCGGGCGGGACACACACACTCAAAAAAACGCCAAGCGTTCTCTCACATTTTGCAACCGCCAGAGGGGCAGAAAGACATTGCGCCGGGCGATGGCGAGGATGGCGAAGATGCCCGTGACATGCTGGAAGACAAACGTCCAGGGTGGGATAGAAGCGGGGGTATCTATTTAATATTCAAGGGGTTGAAAGGCTACCCTCTTGGGGAAGCCAAACTCTGTTCCAGTAAGTCCCGGTACCGTGCTATTTGAATGTCACCGTCGAAAAATATACCTCTAGTGGGAAAAGCGGATTCTCATCGAGAATATTCGCAGAACATTGAGGGGACGAAGGGCTTTAAGCCTTGAAAGCAGCCCCGTATGTGTCGCCTAAGCCAGATGCAAGTCACCCCAGTTCCTCCTGCTTGGCCGAAATATGCAAAGGTAGATGAGGCTGCTTCGCGCAGTGGTACAACAACGATACGAGGACCAAGGCTGGATATTTAAATAATTGATCGAGTTCAATCGTTACGGAAACCTCGGAAAATTCGTTCGGAAACCGCTAATAGACTTGGTGATTAATATCTTTCCCTGGTTATTCCCATCAAATATCGATACAGTACCATACATACATCTCTGCTCGTAGGTTTGTACGCCGAGCTGAACAGGACTTTGGTATATTACCCTGGCACCCTAGACACCTGACGTTACGGATAACGGAACGAGATGAGCCATGGGAGGAGTTGTTGGAAAACCGTGCAGAAGGGCCATGATGGAAAGGCCATTATATAGAGCCGGCGAAACGAAGTCGGGGATAAGTCATCTTGCATATACATGTTAGGAGGACCAAATTGAGAGATTGGTTGACTTGAACACAGGAAATAGGTATTCCTCAATAGTATGGCAGTCAAACATACTTGTTCTTCTATTTCGGTTGATTTTGTACAGGAGTGGTACCTATCCGATGTTAGCATGTTCCATGAACCGATCAAGCAAGGAGCCATACCCAACACCCATCCAAGTCCCGAAGCCAATCCCCCCGCCACCGCATTAGCAACCATATCTCGCTTCCTCACCGTTCCCTCACCATCACTCCCGCTCGCTCCTGAACCCTCTCTCTCATGCCCATATACCTGCCCCTTCTCTCCAGCCGCCGATGAATTCGCCCCTCCCCTAAGCGGAAACGCCGTCTTCGAAAATGCGGCCGCCGCTCCCCTCGCCACGTCAAACAGCCCCATAGGCGCCTCTTCCACCGCGCCCCTGCCGACCTCCCGCCGCGGCTGAACGAACGCAGCCGACGTATCGAAGCCCCCGGGAATCCGGCGATCGGCACGGTCGTTGAACGAGGACTCGGCCTCCGCCTCCTGGGCGAGGAGGGTGGTCATTTCTTCCTCACATCGGCGCCAGACGGCGAGGACTTCAGCGAGGGCGGAGGGCGGGGCAAGGAGGAGGGCCTGGGAGAGGAGTTCCATGCGCTGCTCAAGACGACGGAGTGAGGGGGGTGTTGAGGTGGCGGCGGATGCGTGGATGGCGAAGGTGGAGGGGTCGGAGGGTCGGAATTTGCCGGCTAGAAGCGCAGCTCGCCATGCGATGTCATCTGCAGGGGATTTGCGGGCACGCGCTGTAGATGGAGTTGATGGGCGGTCGACTTCCTGCTGAGGGTTGAGTCGATTGACGACGTATGAGTATGCCGTTTCGAAATCGTCTTCGGCAAGCGCAGCTTCAATAGCCATGCCCGTTACTCGCATCTCCGCCGCGAACTGCTTAGTCTCGAGATCTGGCACCGGACGCGAGCGATGTTCTTCGTCGGGAGAGTCACTAGGCAATCCGGCACCGACGAAGTTCTTCGCGATGCTGATTAAATCGTCGAGCTTGGTATAGCTCTTGGGGTTCTGGCTAAAGACTTTGCCAAGAAGAGCTAAAGGATCGCCGCTGACACGGATGCTAACAGGCTGGAATGGAACGGCATGCTGTAATGTTAAGGAATAGAAGGATAATGCATGAGTAGCGGAGATAAGTGCGTCACAACGTTTGAGGCCTTCCGAGAAACGGAATTGGGGACGAAATATTGCGAGTCTAGGCCAGTGTGTCAGTAAATGTATTGTCAGAGAATATGAAATGCAAGGATTGACTCTCACATTTCGGTGGCCTTCTTCATCCCTCCTCTTGTCTTATTTCCATTACTGGCATTGTCATAGCTGGTGAATATGGCTGCAAGAACAGTCGCTTCGACATCGCCCCGTTCAAGTGGGCTATCATTCTCTTGTAAATATGTTCGTATAGCAGATTGGTAGCCTAACAGGAGTCAGTGATTGTAATCCCATTCGAGAAATCATACTTACAGCCCGCAGTGAGAAAAGTTTTCAGAACATGCTTCTCTAGCATTGCTCTGTCGATCGCTCCAAGTACTCCATTGCTGTGTTGCACGCCTTTGACATCCTCTGGGTTCCAGCTCCATAGCCATAGTACCTTTTCTCGGATAGAAATCCACTCTGGTTCAGCGAGCCGTATTGACAGCCTTGAATGTAGAATCTTTTCCAGGACTGCAAGCTGCTCTTGAATATTTCCCCGAGACTTGATCTTTGCAGCGTTTGCGACTGAGACATCATGGCCCATCGCCCCCAGCATTGATGAAGACAAGACGCACGCTTGGAGCAGCGAGATGGCGTCCGGCGTCGGTTCCGATAGCGCCGTATTCCGCAAATTCGAATTGGAGTTCAGAGTCCGCACAATGTCTTGGACGATCGGACTATCCGGCGCCACCCGAGGCAATTTCGCATTTGGATCCAGAGCAGCGGACGGCTCGAACCCTCCCAAAGTCTCAATCCGCCGCAGTAACCTCTGCGCGATGCCCGAAGCGCTCGCATCGTTCTGGAGACCGTAGATGACCGCAACCATGGACCTCACGTATTGCACGTCGAGTGCATCTGCTTGTTCCTGCGTGAGAGCCCCATAGCCACCCGATTCACCCAAATCGACATTGTTCGGGCCGCTCCAATCGTCGATGCTGTCCACGACATAGCTGGGGTCTTTGACGGCCGTTTCTTGAAGCCAGTCAAACACCCGGTTCCAGTCCGCCTCAATGCCGGAGAGACCCTCGTAGGGGTCCACGGATTGTTGGATGAGCGAGGGTCTTCGTTCTGACTCGCTCCGGGTTTCGGTTTTAGGTCCTACACGCCGTCTTTTGCGCTCATTGCTGCCGTACACCCAAGGTCCGACTAGCGCTTTAATGTCCCTGGCAGCCACCTTTCCGTCCCTCTCATCCTCGTTGTGATCTGTCTGGCCTTTCGCCAGCAATGCATCGACTCCTTCTCTGCCGAATAGAGTCTCTATGACTGGAACCGTCCAGGTTGGGTCAACGTCCGGATAGAACTCTAGGTTTACCCGGACTAACGGGAGGACGATCGAAGTGTACCATGTACGGAGGTAAGAGGAGTGGTCCAGGTATGGCGTTATAAGACAAGGTGTAAGTCGTAGCAGCCCCGCCTGGTCTAGCTGATATGCCCGATGAATCAGAAAGTGGGTGAAGGTGTCCAGCGTGTCATCTTCACTCCGCGATGGGTGTCGCACCGGAACGAGGACCAGCCGTTTCGCCCGCTTCTTCGCCACTCCATCCGATATCTCGTCAACTGCCGAGATGTCGACCTCAACTGTCGGCTCTTCCGAAGGCCGTAGATGAGCAATGTCGCGTGCTAGTGGGGTATATCGGCCGGGCTCGGTGCCCTCGGAGAGGAATGTCAGGAGGATTCGAAGGAGTAATTCGGCATCGAAGCATTCGGGGCGGGAAGCTCGCAAGGAGGAGAAGGCGGAAATGTTGGCTTCGCTCGCATACTGAGCTGCAAGCAGGAAACAATGTGACCTGGAGAGCTGCGTTAGGTGAACCATTCGGTGCGATTTGCGATGCGATGTCCGGCGTTTAGCAGCTGTGGCGTGTCACGAAATACTCGATTTCGAATTGTGTCATGCTCTGCCTGGTGTCTAGAAGTCAATCAGGTATCGAATTTACACAAGGAGCGACCAGATGGTTCAAATAGTTGTTCACACCGATCCATGGAGCTCTCAGCCAAGAAAGCCACATCTGATGCAAGCTCCAATATGACCAGGGTTGACAACTGGACTGTTGACATCACTTTCAACGTACGGGAAGTATTAGTTAGTGCTTGGGCAATTTATATAAAAGTATTCCAACCCTACAGGAATTAACTAAGGCACGTTTAATTTTTGTATGTATTTGTATTGTCATTTAGAATGGGAGAAGTAAATTCCAATGCTATATATACAGATCTGCGGTCTATGCCAGAACAGCCAATGCTTGAAGCCCAGAAGCAAGTTTCTAGTAGCAAATTCAAAGTCCTATCTTAAATCTATTGAGATTTCTCCCTCTTCTTCTTCTCCATGGCTTTCTTGCTTTTCTCCCTCTTCTGAATCACTGCCTCAGCACCAACCCCGCCAAATACCAACCCCACACCAAACCATTGCATCCCCGAGATCTTATGACCAAACCAGATCACAGACAGCACCATCGTCAGCATCTTCCTCGTCACTGTCACCGTGACGAGCAGTAAACTGGAAAACCGGCTTAGTGTCCGGAAGATGAAGACCTGCCCGACGGCACCGCAAATGGCGAAACCGAGCACGTCCAATCGTGCTTCTGGATGTCGTTGTAAGAAGGCGAGACCATCCCAGAGCTCGTTTGCGGCTACACTGGACAGGCCCAGATACGCACCGACTGGAGTCCGCGAGATCGTGGGCGCCAAGGCAAGGTAAGCCACGTTGATGAGCGACGCGATCGTATTCTGCGCGACCATCATCTGCGGCCCCGAATACGGCGCATGCGCCGTGAAGATATGGTCTTGCGTGCTGTTCGTGATGCCGTCGAACAGCAGGTTGATCGACAGCAGAAGCAGACCCCACGCTGCCGCGCCACCGATGCCCGTGGATGCGGTAAACCACGACACGAGGCCTTCCGGCACGAACGACGGCATCTCCACATCCTTCTGCGCCGCGGAGCGTTTCGCAGCCTTCGCGGCGGTGGAGGGATGGTGGACGGTGAAGACGGCGACGCCGGCGGTCACGGCAAAGACGACGAGATATTTGTAGAGGGGGTAGCGGCGGCGGAAGAAGGTGACGTGGAGGGCCATGACAGGGAGGAGCTTGCATGATTTGGCGAGGATGAAGGTGATGTAGTCGATGTAGTTGAGGCTGGCGTAGCCGAAGGGGGCGGCGAGGGAGCTGGTGAGGGAGACGAGGGCGAGGGGCGGGAGGATGGATGCGCGGGGGAAGATTGCAGGGCGCGAGGAGCGCGAGGAGGTGATGTTGAAATACAGCTTCCCTGCGATGGCGGCGAAGAGCGCTTGGATCGTGAGCAGCAGGATGCTGTATTGGAATCGCTCAGGCTTGTCTGATGGGCCATATGATTTGGTGGTGATACGCTCTTGGAGTAATGCCCAAGTTAAGCTGCAGGAGTCAATACAGTCAACGATGATCTTTGATTTGCGAGTCTGGAATCGCTGTCACATACAATGCGCCGTATATCCCGCCAACACATATCACCAACTCCGTGAGCCCTGGGCTCGAACTCTCCTCGGTTGGCTCTGCCCGTTGGATCGACTTCTTCTCAACCGGAGTGGCTGGCCGAACGGTATGTCCGTTTGACGCATCGTGATGTATCTTTCCGTAGGTTTGATTATATAAATCCGACGGTTCCCTCCGCAGGGGAGTCTTCGGCTTTTGGCGAGCCATTGCGAACTAGAAAGGAGATCTGCAGACAGAATTTTAGTAGTCGATGGGACGATGATCTATATAAGGAGCGACATGAAGGGCATAAATTCGATACGAATGGTGAGATGGAAACTTGGTGAACGTGGCGGCTGATAGCCAGATAATGTTTCGCCAGTGTTTCTCGAAATCTGGCATCAACACAGCGGGAGAGCCATGGGTGGGGTGAACACTGAACACCCCTGTTCCTTGAATAAGAACCGCCTCCATATTTGAGGGAACACCCGGAACTAGAGAGACGACACCCTCACACCCTATTGTTAATTATGTGGACGTGATATCCGGTACTTCACGATTGACTATTACGCGATCCATTGACTAGCGCTACGGTACTGGTATCTAAACGATTGTCCCTGAAAGCCGAATTCTGAGTAAAAGGTATCTTCGCTAGCACTGGCTTTCAAAGAAGCCCATACAACGAACAACTGAATCAAATGTGAGAATACGATTGTCCCCGATCGTCATCACCGTAATTAGAAGGACTTTCCTGCAACCTGAGCGGACCCATCTCCCAGTCCACTTCGATCCGACCATTACACACCCTCGGTCACAGGTTTATCAGTCGACTCTGCGGGAAACGCAGCGGGAGCGGCCGCCTCGAGCGCTTTCTCCCCTCGAGTGTAAGGGTTCGAAACACCCTCGAAATGGTACAGCTCCGGGCACGTCTCGTTCTTGTGCCACAGGATCCAGCGACGGAACCACCATGGAAGCACGGACCCCGTCTGGTAATTCACGTGCTTCCTGGTCGGCACCGCAAAGACGTAGTCCAGCTCCTCGAGCGTCCGTTGCTTCGTCTCCGGCACGAACAGGAAGATGAGCAACAGCGCCACTAGATTCAACCCTGCGTAGAACCCGAATGCCCCGGTCGCCGTCATGGCGCGCAGCATGCGGGGGAACGTCAACGCCAACACGGAGGCCCAGAAATTGTTGGTCGCGACGGCATACGCCATGCCGACCTCACGATGGGAGAGGGGGAATACTTCGGCGCTGTACATGAAAGGAACGGGGCCTTCCCCAGGGCTGTAGAACGCAGCGAAGAGGTAGACGAACAGGGCGACAAGCCCGAGACGCAATTTGCTGTCTTCGACGCTAGGTTCAATCAAGTAACACAGTCCGGCAGCTAAGATCGAATTAGTCCTGCTTTTCGGAAACCGGTAGCTTGGGGGCACATACCAAGCAACGTCCAGAACATCTGAGGGAAGGTGAAGAGCAAGAGCGTACGACGGCCAAAGGTGTCGATGGTCCACACCGCAGGCCACGCAAAAACGAAGTTGATCAATCCGAAGCCGAACGATGCAAAAAGTGCAGTGAAGTCGCTGATACCAGCCTCCTTGAAGATAGTGGCGCTGTAGAACGAGATGATATTAACTAGATGAATGCATTAGTATGTGGTTTGGCTTTTTAGTCGACTGTGCGATACGTACTTCCGCACATCTGTTGTGCCAACATAACGATACCAGACGCATACACCGCACGACGGTTTCGGGGCATCGTGAAGAGCTCAACGAATCGAGTGAACGTGTTGCCACCAGACTTCGCGATAGTGGATTCCTCGATGAGCAGCTCTTCCTGTTTCAGCAATACATCGATGTAGTAAAGATCACGAGCAGCTTGAAGCGGAGTGTTGCGGAGAGCCTTCAGGGATTTCCAAGCTTGATTGTAATTGTTCTTGCTCATCAACCTAACGATCCCATGTTAGCGACCTGTTATCATCCTGTACGGCAATCTTACATACCAGCGAGGAGATTCCGGGCACCAATAAACACCGAGAACCAATGGAACTGCCGGAATGAAGGCGGAGCCGAATTGCAGACGCCATGAGATCGCGCCAGTCTTTGCTACGGCCAAGTTGGAGCAGGTTCCAAGGAAGATACCTATATTTGTGAGCCTTTTGTCCACTAGAAGTTGTACGAAGGCACGAACCGAATGCCGTCCAAACTTGCCAGGACATTACGAGACCGCCGCGAATGATAGTTGGAGCGTTTTCTGCTGAGAAAACAGGCACGGTGACCTCTTTCAACCCCATACCAATACCAAGGAGCATGCTGATCATTTCTCGTTAGCGCGCAGACAGTGCGCCATTGTAGGGTCAAGAACGTACCGACAAGCCAAGAGCTGACCCCATGTTTGAGAAAGCGCCATACCGAATGGGGCCAGAAGCGAGAAGATGGCGGCAATGAAGATGACATGACGCCGTCCAAGCCAGTGATTGAGGGGATCAGAGATCCATCCAGCGCTTCGAGAGGGTTAGTTAGAGCACCATGGAATGGTAGGGCGGTTGCAGGGGCTAGCTTACAAGAGGCAAATGGTGATATACGGCATGCTGTTGATAAGTCCCACAATCCAACTGTTCTTGGAACAGTCACCACCATTGATGTCCGGTCCACACTCGGGTGGGTTCTCCGGAAGATTGAACGCTTGTGGAAAACTCAAGTTCGCCCCATTGGATCCAGTCTGACATTCCATTAGCGGACTGAAAAGCAGAGTCAGATGGTGAATTGCATACCTGATCCCATCCTTGAATGGCAGCGGCAATTGAGTTCAAAATGATGGTGTAGTAGAGCGGCCACGGGTGCCTCCAGCGATGCTCGACTTCATCAATCAGTGCTTCCTTTTCGAATTCCTCGAGCTCCGTGATGGAGTCCAGCGCAGCGGGATTCTGCGCAACCAAGGCGCCCTTCCGCAGCAATGGAAGGATATCCTCTGGGAGGTCGTGTTCCTTGTGGAAGCGGTCAACGTTTTCCAGCAGGATTTCTCGAGGAATGTCCTTGAGAGGGTTGCGAATCTCTCCAGCCACGTTCTCGGTCAGCTGTGCGATGCTGGCTCTGCGTCGGGCTGTCTCGTCTCCCTCGATGGGGACTGCCTTGGATCTAGACATTTAGAAAGCCTGATTAGCATGTGGTGTCGAAGTGTCCCCAGTTGAGTGTGTGGGATGAGTGTTACACATGAAGTGGAAGATATTGGCTGTGTTATAGGAAGTGTATGAAGCAATGGAACCTTCACATACTCTTCCACGTCCTTCGCCATAGTGAATGGCCTCGATGTTGGTTTCAGTCAAAGCTCTTTCTCTTAATGTGGTCTTCTCAAGTATGCGAACCGAATGCCGGTACCTTCACTCGTCACAAGGACAGGAACAAAAACTGCTCGAAACGCAGATGTGTCGGCGAAGATGGGGGAGCACAGGCGAATTTAAATACATTCGCCCTAGCTACCACGGTCAAGCACGCATGGCACCAAACACAAACCCTCATTCGAGTTAGATCATTCTAACTAGCGGGGTTCCCCAACCTCAGAATTTCAATATCCTTGCTTCCATTCACCTGGTTCTCTGGGTGGGAAATCAGACTGCAGGTTAGCCCAATGATCAGCATCGACTGACCATAATGTTACAGTGTTTAGTGTTACACCCATCCACCAGAGTCGGGAACCTGCACCCAGAGTCGGAAGCCGTCTGCCTCACGCCGTGTTCCGGAAACACTCTGGCTGGCGCACAAGATGGACTTGGAACCTGGCAAGGCGGCTCAGAGCATACCGAACTTGCCAGACCCAATCTCTCATTTCCCGTCGCGGTGGTAACTAGAGACTCTCCCGGACCTGTGCCCTTACTTCGATTTAGCATGGACTCTGGGCTCTGCACAAGGCCAACGTTGCCCGTTGGCGACATGCCGGCATGGAGGGTAGTGGATCCGGCAAAACGCATGAAGGGAGGGCAGAATTAACGGACAGTGTCGAGAGAGGAAAAGATCGGACGTTTACAGATGAAAGTCATCTCGCTCCCCTGCACTGATAGACCCTTGCGAGCTATCGGTTAGCGTTGGCATTTCTTGGGTGGCAGGCTTGCTGCAAAGAGCAAAAGCTTTCCCTAGCTTTGGCGTCTTTGTCACCAACCGCTAGCGCCCAGTCGTCGGCTTATCCGATGATGGCGTTTTGAAGCTTCATCCTTGGCCGGTTCTTGAGGAAAATTGAGCCTTGGAAGGCTGAGAAATCAAGAGAGAATTCAGCCATCCACCGTCCCCAGTCAGTCCATGAGAGAATCGTCCTCTCTGTATCTGAAGGTGGTTACATCCAAATCCTCCTGCCTCCCAGTCAAGGTTAGGGCCTCGTCCTTGTGGTAAGATTAGGAAAGGGACTACTCCGTACATCAAATCTAAGAAACAAGAGTTCAAGACGCTCTGGGATCTGGTATCAAAGATCTCATATAAATAGGACGATGGTTTCCTAGTCACAAAGAGCGGAAGCCGAGTAGCATCATATTGATGATCCACTGCTGCCCATCCCAACTGATACCTTCGGCGGTCTAGCTTCTGGGCTGAATGGTGATTAGGAAAGTGATAGACTGTTGACCAGACTGATGCCCAGGCGCTACTGCAATCAGAGAGACCGCCAAGGCTAGGCTCGAAACCATATCAAACGCCGCCGACATCATTGGTGCTCGCATGATTTTCGGCCTTTGGGGCTCTCTCCCCCGCCGCGGACTGCCAGACGATTATAGCGCTCGGTTTCGACGTCCGGATCGGGAACATGGTGAGTGGTGAACTCTCTTGAGTCTCTGGGAATTTCAGCGCTATGGGTGCGGTTTTATATTTTCAGTTGGCTTCCACCCCTTACGTAGCGGTTTCATTCAATACCTTACGGTTCATAATTCCGATTGTGAGCATGCGAATTGGCCAGGCGGTGACAAAGCAGGATCTAGGTCAGGCTTTGACCAGGTCCATATTGCATATATGCCTCGTATGAGGCTGACAGTGTCTGCTTCCTTACTTATGCAACTCCATGTCGTGCGTCCGAGCACTGCGCCCATCTCATCGAGAGGAGTCCCCGCTGCAAGAGTAGGATCTGGTCTGCGGGGTAACAGTTACGAGTAGGTATCTTGCTTCACCATGCATTTGCGGTTTAAGCGATTGAGGCCAGTGAGGTGACACTGCATCACGTCAAACGCCGGGGTCGTTGATTACTGGACAAGGCTAACCTGGACGGCTGACTGAAATAATTTTGCCCAGTAAGTAACTTTGTCGGTGGAGGATCCTAAACCATGTCCTCATGGCAAACTTGGTTCAACCTGCCACTTCCAAGCTCCCAAGGGGTGTTGAATTGTCATGTCCTCACCCATGTCCCAGACATGAGCCCCCATATCCTAACCACCGAGTAGTGGCAGAGCACGATTCCATATGACCTCCAGTCTCCAGATCCATTTCTGATGAAGACGAACATTAACGTGTGGGGTGAAAGGACATCTCGCTAACCCGTGACCATATCCTCCCACCATTCCATGGACGCGACGCCACGCTATCAGATATCGCGCTATCCTTCAACGACCTTTGGCATCGCGAGAATCCGACTGCTTGAACAATGGGTGTATCAAGGGTGTAGTGATAGTATATCCCGTACACTGAAATACTTATCTTTAGAATGGTATTATTGCAAGCATCAAATCGGCGCCCCGATGTGCAGCAGGCAACAGGCCCACGATCGTCGCAGTGATCGACACGGTCCATAGAAACTGGGGCTCAAAGACCCTGATCTCCGTCGGGTCCTGCAGGTGTCAGTAACGTCACTGGTGTTCGACTGAGCTATCGTCTGATCTGAGGAGACGAACTAAGGGCCAAACTTTCGGGCTGCCTTCCCGGCTGCTTAATGTGATTCGAATAGGGATCACGAAAGCAGTCCTTGGGATGCATATCCCGCATCCGCAGATCTCAGCAACTGTGAACTGCTCGTGCAGGTCCGGTTCCATAATATTCCGTGTTCAGGATATGCGATCGCATATCTTGAGATGATATGGCTTCATCCTAGGTGAGATCGACACGGCAACAGCATATCGTGCTGTACAACTGGATTCGGCCCGGGGTGTGCAAATTATCCTGACGGCGGAGAACTGGCCCTTCAGGTATATCCGTTGACCGGATTATTCTCTTCCGCCAGTCATGTATGGAGCCGCTTGATCGACAACCCTCCCTCTTCGATATTCCGATTCTCCCCTGTTCCGTCGCCACGGGCTCCACAGACCGGAAGTGGACGATCTCTCATGCCTCATAATGGTGGAGAGTTTCTACCGTTCCCTGGTAATATGTGTAGATTTGACTCTCAGTAGCATCTTCGAGGTTTTGAAACCCCCGATGCAATGCAATTGGATGTTGCTCCGGAGTCCGCTGCACAACGCCACTGAAACAAAGATGACGAACTGTTCCGAGACGTTCAAGTTCCGATTGATGGACCCAGAAGGACTCATCCTGCACGCAGTCATGCTCGATGTGGTATATATGCTTGAGTCACAAGACTGGTAGAAAAGAAGACCTTGGCGTGTAGACCAATCCAACCCTCTAAAAGAGGACGCGAAAGGGCAGTGACTCAACGACGAAGAAGATACGCGGTATTCTGCCAAATACCAACATGTTATCAGGGACTCGGTACCGCATTAGCCACTTTATTATGAGGCTTCAAGCTGAGATAGTGTTAAACATCCTGATGCCATGATGCCGAAACGGAGATAGTTCGAGGAACCGAGGACAATTATCTGTACACGTGGACCAATTGCTGAGTGTTGACGAGTTATACCATGAACAGGAGTACTGTTGTTGCGTATCAAAGGAGCAAAAGTTGCTCCAAGTCAAAGACCCGACGTTTTAATTCCCATTTCGTGGGTTGCACATCATGGCAAGGAAGAGGGAGATCCCAGGAAGATCCGGCGACCTGGCGATCTGCACAGAAATTAGTCGCTTCGGCCAGCCTAAACACTCTAGCAGTCGAGCTTCATTCGTTGCATAAAGCCACTCCAAGTCACCGCACATCTTCATAATCGATCGAAGACGAACCCAACTTATCATATTTCGAATATCCTATCTCTACCTTCAACTGCAAGTGCCTCTATCAACTCATCCTTTCCTCCGTCAAAATTGTTTGTCAATTGCACCCTGCCGGTCGGTTCACTACGTGATCCTTACACGACGACTTCACAGGAGGTCGTTACTTGTACGGTCGTACCACCAGCGAACGATGTTCATTCAGTCATCGATTAACATTTAACAGGATTTTTTAACCATCTCATTCGCTTCCTGGTAGTACTCTATCCTGTACAGCATCCATGACGCCCTAACGTCCCGTTTGCCGGTCTTTTACTTGCACTGAGCGGCGTCTATCGAGTGCTCTCGACTCTTTGAAGCCGCTCGGATGACAAGACCAAAGGTACCGCCAGATCAGCGGCAGAGGATTGCGCAAGCCTGTCAAAGGTTGGTTGGTTTCTCTCATATGTTTAAACCTTCTCGCGACCTCAAGGCGACGGTGACGGGGCTGATGCGGATAGCTGAAAAGTTGCAAGAGACGTAAACAGCGGGTGAGTTCATTCAGGCGAGAGTTCATCAAACTTCATTTTCACAGCTCCATCCGATATCCGATGAAATCGGATCCCTTTACAATGTGCCGTTGTTCGGCAATGTCCTTGCCTGTCTTTTTCTCCCAAGTTCAATCAAGTCTTCAATGTCCCATTCTGCGCTTCCGTGGGGACCAAATTCCATGGACAACGGCACTTGAAGCTCGCCAGCATGGTGGCATTTCAGGTATGAGCTTTATCGAATCCTCGTACCTTTCCAGGGTTGTGGCATGATAATAATAGTACAACATATTTTGTGCAACTCCCCTGGATCGGGGCAGCGTTTGGAGCGCACTCATGACTCAGGAATTCACCCACCGAGCCCATGTCCATTCAGATGCAGATAAACCCTTCACGGTCAAGTCGCACAGGACATCGCCTGGAATTGCCTGGAGTAATGAACTCGCTCGCCCTTGGACAGGATCTCGGTTCGAACAAAATATAAATGTGTAGCGTTCCTTTTGTGGCATCAAGACTGTCCGCCCTTATGCTTATGTCCGGTCCTAGGCATTGGCCAACGAGAATCGTGTTGCTTCACCATGTTCTTTTGTGTGCCACCAGCCTGCTTGTTTGAGCATTTGCTAAATTTTTATTTAGTGCAACGGTCAATGCCCATGCAACACCTGTGAGAAGCGACAATTCGATTGCATTTATGATGATCGGGAAAGTGGGTCAACCCCTGAGGGTGGCCCGAAAGCAAAGAAACAAGCGACTGGAAGAGATCTAAATTTTCCGCTGGCGGCCCAACCGGCAACAGTCCATGCAAGATATGTTGCGAAGGAGCCAAACCAAATCAACGGATTTGACTCGAAAACACATCTGTCTCTGTCGGGCGATCAACCGTCGCCTTACCCGCCTAGCACATTCAATCACCAGCGCATCCCGAGTTCGACTAATGGGTCCGGGAGATCAACTTCTAAGGACTTAATTCCAAGGGAGCCGACTCAGTCACTGCCTGGGAATCTCTCTACGCCTGATGATGGAGGCAATGGTGCTCCAACTATGTCCCGTACGACGTCCCAGAGTGGACCAGAGGAAGAAGTGCACGCTTTCTCAGAAGCTCGGATGCTGCAGGATCCCACTGGAAGATTACGTATGTTCACTCCTTGAGGAATGAAGAGGTTCAATATATTTGCTTGCTGACATGAACCCGGTACAGTCTATCTGGGGGATGCGGCGACTTTGGCGAACCTCCAGTTAATTCGCATGATGATCGAAAGCGTCGCTGGTCCTTCTCCGTTCACTGCCGATGCCAGCAGGCATAAAATCATGGAATCTCAGATCTCGATTCCAAACATGCGACACCCTCAGTTGCTACCTGATAAAAAGACCGCGGTTGTCCTGGTCGACAGCTTCTTCATCAATGTAAGTCTACCATATGGGTTTTAGGCTAATATTCTGACCTGCCGTAGACCCATGGTCTAGTACATATCTTCGAACGACAAGACTTTCTCAGCCGCATGGATGCATGCTATTCGGATCCATTATCTGCTGACGCCCCCTGGCTCTGCTTACTCAACCTAGTGTTTGCAATTGGCCTTATACTGGCCACGCCAGCGCCAGGTTCAATAGAAGAAGACGTGATTGTAAAGCTTCGGAAAAATCCCGAGGAACTGTCCGATAAATTCTACCTCAGCGCGAAAATCTTGAACGATCCAGTGGTTGGCATCGAGGACTCCGACTTCTGGTCCATCCAGGCTCTTCTTCTCATGACATTATATATGCTAGCTAGGTCAAAACGGAACACCGCATTTGCCCTACTCGGTATGTTCGCCTTGTTAAGTTGCTCTAGGCGTTGCTCATAATTGGATAGGTATGGCAGTGCGGTCTGCATATGCTCTTGGTTTGCATCGACAAGAGACAACGCAGATCTTTCCTTCCGAAACGCAATCGGCCAGACAGAATATCTGGAGGTCCCTGTTCGTCCTTGATCGATTCCTATCCTCCTCTCTCGGCCGTCCCACAGCAATCTCCGAGGATGAATGCAGTGGGAAGGCACTCAACCCAAATTTCAAGTTTCAACCAACTCCGGTATCGTTCGACCCCATTTTGCCAGGGCCAGCGGTATTTTATCAGACCAGCATTCAAGGCCTTGATTCGGTAGTGCGGAGTTGCTCAGTGATCGGCATGACCCTCCGGCGTGTGTATCAACCACGCAAGATCTCGACCAAATTGGCGCAAGAAATTGCAGATATATACAAGCAGTGGCCCAAGAATCTCGTCGAAGAGCTACACTGGCGCCATGCTCGCTCGGCATCAGCAAGTCAAGGAATCGCCATTCTCCATGTCAACCTCTTCTTCTGCCACTCGATCATTTTGCTGTCGCACCCTTTTTTCCTTTACCTCATGAATATGATCATTACGAAGCGCTACAATCCGACAGAAGCATCGAACCGTTCAAAACGGATGTACACCCGCATGACTCTGTTCAGCAATTCTTGTGTCGCCGCATCTTCTCAAACCATTAACATCCTTCAAAACGCATATGTAGCTGGGTATCTCCCAAGACGAAACCCTTGCTTCATCTACTTCCTTTTCAGCGCCACGATAATCATCCTCTGCAACGAGTTTGTCTATCTATACCAGCATTCCGACGCTACCCGCGACATCGAGAACGCATCTCGCCTAATGGACTACTGCGCGGAGACGGATCCACATGCATCGACACTGACGTATATCGTCTCCTCTTTCCGCGACGTCGTGGAAAAGGAAAAGGCTAAACGCCCACAACCATCTGACGGTCCTTCGCCGGAGCCGACTTCCACAGGTGCATACCCTAATCCAAATCCAGTCGCTCAGGCACCCATGGATTCAAAAACTAGCGCTCCGAAGCAGGGATACTACCTTCCTCACCCCCCAAGTGCCAATTTACTCTCATCAACGGCCCATTCGACCCCGTCAGCAACCGCCACCACAGCCACGCCCGGCATCCCCACCCTGCAGCCCTTACCCCCCTCTCAAGTACCTCAAATCCATCCCGGCTACAAGGCCAAGCCGTCCTACCCCCAACCCCCACGCCAACCCTTCTTCAACCTCGACTCCCTCCACAACTCTGGCTTCTCATTTCTCCATGACCAGCACCGAAGCGACGGAGCCGACGAAGTCGAACGCGAAGGTAGCTCTGGGAATGAAGACCAGATCGATTTCAACACACTGTGGCGGTCGTGGCCGCATTCACAGCAGCAGCAGAGCTTTGGGGGTGGGGGTCCGCGGCCAGCATAATAGGGTGGGGAGAAGGGCGGAGAGGTGTTCACGGAGGTGGAAGTGCCGGAAAGTAGTTCGGCGGTTCCGTTATATGGAGTTAGCATGGGGTATAGGTGAATAGTTGGAGGTAGTCATAGAGCACAGATTGAGGTTGATATGTTCCGGATCGACTGATGGCCTTGACTATTGAAAGTGCGACATTAAGGGCCTCAAATGAGAGCCATCGAGACGGGAAACACGCATAACTCCGTTTCCATCTCATTCTCTGCTCTGCCTTAACCAACGTCGATATAATATTCCACGGGTAGCAGCTAAACAGACCTCGAACCAGTGTTTAAGGAGAAATATGGGAGAACCGTGCATTACCATGGGCTTGTTCGTTTAACTTGGCCTCAACCCCTACCAGTCATGTATATTTAGCAAAGCTTGCACTCCTGCGCTTCTGCGGCCGACCCGTTTCCCTGGGCAAGGTTATGGATTCATAGAAGAACAGGAGCCTGTCTCTCATGAACACCTCTTGCCTTCTGTTCTTATCTTTTCGACCACTTGATATCTTAAAACTTCCAATCCCCAACCAAAATCAGGTTGACTAGATCATGGTGAGCTAAACTGATCTCCGTATGACCGAACAGAGTCGAGACCGATTCGCCAAACGCAGTGTCGAGAGGAAGATGGTTCCCAGGGGGGCAAATTACGACCATCCGCCCAATCACTCTCATACCCCAAATGCCCTCATCCATCACCCCAATGATCCTCCACTGTTCACACTGGTCCCCACGGCGGCGGCAGAAATAATCCGTTCAGCATTGCCTGCAGGAGCAAGAACTGCTGATAATCACCCTTCGGGTCCTCGTCATTGATCCGTCTCATTGCTTTAGTCGCCAGGACCATTTCATCAACTTGTATACAGAGGGAGATCATGGTGCGGTCGACGTGGCAGGAGCAAACGCAATGTGGCAGCTACGATTAGGGTTGAGTTGTTGGAGAGGACTAGGTAGTAGATGCAAGGTAGAGGTGGCGAGAGATTTGGTCGACGAGGTCGATGTCTAGGGGGTTTAGGGTAGCCATCGAAGTGGAGTCGAACGGAGTGAACGACAAAGGATCTAGAAGAAGGTGTGATATTCTTGAGTCCGGGATTGGGAATAATATGGTCGTGGGCACGAGAAGAGGAAGATGTAGATAGCCATGGTGGAGAGAGATGGACAACGTTGACAATGACTGTTCGTCACTGAGGTCACTGAACGCTCTACAATCCACGTCAAAGAAATGTTTGTATGCTTGAAGATGCGGCAACCTATTCAGTCCTATTCAGTCCTCGCTCGTCTCTTCGAGCTCTAAGGACAATTCTATATGGCGGTTTAGAATCGAATATAGGCATTACTTGGATAGGAGTCGCTGCCAGGAGATGGACCTACTCGTTTCTACCTACCCTGATAACTAGGTACCAACACGACGCCCAGAGTTCACGGTTCATGCCAAGTAGGTGATCAACTCTAGATCAAGAGAGTTAATTAGTGTAGAATCTCGCTCGGATCAAGCGATTCCACTCTTCTTATCGTCGCATCATCAGATTCCCCCATAGGTTCCCCCATAGGTCCAGCCCTATTTTGGCAAGGAGATTTGCGGCGGTGATCTCTGGGCTCTTGGAAATATCAAATCTTCACAAAATACCTAGGGGGATGAGGTCCTCCGTCGGCCACCCCGTACCGCCGCGATGGTTGGCATCGACACAGAATAGGAAGAAAAGACGAGCAATCTCGTAGATACATAGTTGGGACGAAAGTACTACGTACATATCATTATGACGGCGAAAGCCCCCGAAGGGGGGACTATGCCTTCTATAGCTAATGATATTATGATCCCTACTAATCACTTGGCGGAGGAATTGTTGGCAACATACGACTGAACGACTGAGCGACTGAGCGGCTAGGGAAACCACGGGTAAAGATATATAAATGGTCGATTGATGCACATTTGACCACGATAGAACTCCAATAATTCCCGCACTTCCCACCGACCCACCTACTGTTCTGTTTACACCACTCCCACTGCATTCAAGATGCATTCCTTATCATTGCTTTTCACTGTTGGCAGTTATCTCCTAGCCGGGCCTTGGGGGGCCGCGAACGCTTTGCCACAGGGCACTGCAGCATCTATACTTGTGCCCTTCCTAGCCAAGGAGTTCGAAAAGATCTTCGGACAGCCACTCTCTTGCTGCGGATCGCTCGAAAATTGTCATGGATTTAAAAACGCGGAGGGTAACCCGAACAGATTCCACGCCTGTTTTAGAAAATACCGAATACCGATTAAGGGCTTCATAGGTAATAGGTGCAGACGACTGACTCTAGTTCAGCCCCGGGTGCTCAGGAATTCTCCGCAGAGGACGTCGAAATCGCCAAGTGCCTTACAAATCTGCACTACAGGCAAACGGATGTTTGCATTTCTGTTCAGGGGAGCAGTTGTGATAACAATGGATATACCGCTCGAGGTGGACGAATTTAGAATATGTAAAGAAACTGATTCTTCCCCCAACTGTAGAGCGACTATCGAAATACTTACTCATATCCCAATAGGCATAAATCGTGGCTCACGGCGTCAAGACCGCTTACTACAGAAGAGTCCTGGTCAATCCAAGATGGATCTATAGCTCTTAAAGGGACTAAAATGAAGACCGACGATAGCGCGAAACCATATGTCGATCCAATCATAAGTAGAGCCAACCTTCCCAGCGTTGAGGCTAGGTTTAATTACATTGGATAGCCGGCGTGTTAGTAGGGCAGCTGCATTGGTTTAGGTAGACTTAGAGTACTTTGATTGAGCTAAGGATTGTTAGGCGCAAAGATTGGACCGAATAAAATGGAAGGCAAAGGTTTGTTTGTGGGATAATTGATTTGATATTTTTGGCTCACTGTACTATACACCATATGAACAATCTACTACCTATTGATCTAGACAATGAAGACGGTTCAACCGCGGTTTTTATTAAGCCTATCCTCAGTCCTCACAGTCTCATTCTGGGGCCTTTCAGTTTCGGGCCGTAGGCATGGCCTCGAAAACTGCCCGTGTATCTCGAATTGCTTGGGTTATAGAAGCCGACCCTGGATGGGTGGTGCCACTGATTATTATCACGGCTACTGATCCTCATGAAAGGTAATCGGTAAGCCAACCGATACTGCCAGAAAGAGTTAGCAAGAGGACTCGTCGATGCTCTAACCCCTTACGATATTTTTCCATCGACGTACTGACGATTAGTGGAGTTGAGCTCGTGGAACTTCAATGTTAGCTTTCGGGAAGACGGCACCTTGTCCAATTCGATGAATGTGCGTTACTGAACGCACCAGATACCATGCTCCGAACCAGGAGCGCTGGCGAGACGGGATTAGAAGTTTTCACAGTGAGGAGAGAAATTCATCCTGCTAGACCACTCTAGAAGCATATCATGATTGCTGCCAGTTGGAGAAATCGGAACATCTGGTAGTCGCGGGGGTTGAAGTAAATCGGAAACCTCTCTTCCATCAGAGCAGCGACTGGAAAATGACACCAGCTACCAGGCGATGTGCACCGCCAGCCCTTGAGGCAGATCCAGAGACCTGTTTCCATCCGCAATGACCTTCTCACCAAATTGATTTCCCGAACGCGAGACCGAGTCGACGCTGTAAATCCGGATTGCGGTTTGACATGGCGGAGAAGATTGCGAGGGGCAAGAATGGACGGGCGTTAGGCATGGAGGCTAGAGTCTTAAGGTGCGTAGAGAACGACGAATAAGAAGTGTATGAGGGATTAATATTGCTTCAAAAAATATTCCGCAAACTGAGCATCGAGCTTTGTCAGTGGAAGATCCTGCTTCAGCGCCTTTGGGGCCGGCTGCGCTCTGCTCTCCTTGGACACTAGTGGCGAACTTGACGCCTCTGGCTCTGGAAGACCGTACCGATCATGGACTGGGAAAATTCCTGAAGATTGAGATCCTCTTCACCGTTGAGCTACGGCCTCTAGACTGATACGACGTCCGCGAGAACGTCATCTCCTGGTTCCAAGTGAACCTTCTCCTTTGTCGCTGGCTTCGGGTTTATACGTTTGTAGATTCGTCTAGGACGAGGGGCTTCGTATGCACAAGTTGATCGTGACGCGAGCCATCCGGTAGACGGTGAGAATGATGGGTAGATCCGGTTGCAGGTATACCTTTGGCAAACACCCGCAGTACTGCTGGAAATATATCGGACCTCTCGGTTCCAACAAGCTTTGCAGGCAGGAGAGGGTCGAGGTCTATGGCAGATGGGATGGGTGGTGGTCGAGCACATCCTGCCTGACTCAGACCATCTCGATATACATCGTATAGGGCCTAAATAGTCACTGAAAGGTACCAAAACCAATCTACTCCAAAGGAGGGAATAGGGTTAAAACTTTCCAGTGCCAGGCAATCGAGTACCTGTATAACCGCAGAAGATGTGAGGATGAACGCCCTGCAGTTAGAATGAAGTTGAGAAAGGTCAGATGGTGATAATTTCGTCGGCGGGGTTGAAGATGTGTGATATAATAGAAACATGTTCACAACCAAAATGCCATATATCCATCTTTCTAGAACATTGACGGCGAAAATACCCTGGTCGTATTTGGCAAAAAGGCCTTCAACGGAACTGAAAAAACCACTCATATCCGAATTGAGGCAGTCCGCGCTAAACAGGAACTTGGCGTGACAAAGGATCTACCATCCGGATGCCTCACCTTCGGACTGACCACGGAGAGCGCTAATACCTGGAGGGCGAAAAGAAGAGACTGGTACTGGTCCGTTTCGAGGACGATTGAACTCTCTGGATAGACTCAGTCACTCAGATGGACTTTCGTTCACCAAGGAATGCGCATGTTTCCTCGGGAAGAGTAACTGGTTCGAGCGCGTTCGTAAGGGGTAGGACTCCTCCTATTAGGACTTCTTCAGCATCGAGTACCGAGTACCTGAACTTAGTCACACAAAATTTGATTCGTACCTAGAGAGCTTGAGGGGTTTGTCGGGTCAGTCATTAACTAAGTAATATTATTCAGAGACTCACATGCATCCAGAGAATGCGCCTTCCTAAGAACTATATTGATAAGTGCAGCATGACGTATGAAGCAAGGGATGGAGGGAAGGAGCTAAGGAGGGCAGGATAAAGGAAGGGTGTCCTAAAGAGGAATAGCGGGCTTCTTGGTCAGCTGGGCCTTCGCCATGCGAACAATCTCTGCATCTCACCACCAACGACCCTGCACTCGGTGTTGAGTGTTGAGTGCCGACGACACACTTCAAAGTACCAGCTCCGAACGGGCTTGGACTTCCGAATCCCAATTTAAATCGCCAAAAAATTACCACTCGATGGCTTCTATCCCTTATTCGCTCATTTTCAACACCGATTAATCTCTCCTCAAAGCCTGGTCACGCCGGCAATCGCGCCCAAGGGCGATGGATCTGCCAGTGTGTCAATATGGCGCGGCGGGACTGGCGCGTGCCGTCCGCCATGGCACTCTCCCGCTCTGGCGCACGATTGACGCCATTCGCGCAGGAGAGGAAAAGCCCACAGAGCAGGCAGAGTGACCGAACCCGTCCGAGTCGCTCAATTCCACCGTCCACTTTGTTCCTCCGCATATCTGGCCACGCTCGACCCGTAGCTGAACGACCAATTTTTCTTCCATTGTACGCGAGAGATTCCCCAGATGTTTCTGTCTCCCGACGTATACGTTAACCTCGAAACCTCTTCCCGCCCCAGTCCAACTTGACCGTGTCCGCAAGCTCGTCGAGGGCTAGGTCACTCAGCGGAGCTGTCCGTCGAACTTGTCTTTGGAACCATTCATAAGATTGTAGAGAGAATCCGGATCATTACACTGCTTGGAATCATCGTCTTTCGAGTTTCGTCTCATACGACCTCTTGACGCCTCACGGTACGTGACTGGTCTCGTCTCGGAATTTGTTAGCTGGCACACCCCCTCCCAACACTCTGGCCGATTTCTCAGCGACCACCTTATCGATGGCTCGCAAAACATCATTATGGCCGATATACGATGATAGGAAGCTAATGACGTGAATGGCTTTCTAGAATTCCGTAAATTCGATTCCGACCGATTCCACTCCCATACCATCCCCCTCACCACGAGCGACACCAACCACTATGTCACCACGACGCTCGTCTCGAGCACGAGCAACCCAACCGCCTCATCTCGCCCATAACACCAGCACCCACAGCGCCGGGAACAATGGCAATGGCTCGTCGTCCAATTCTGCCACCTCGTCGCTTCGCGCGGAGCGCTCCACCCGCTCCGCCGTCAAGTCGGGGAGCCCTCAGAAGACCGAGGATATCACGCGGTCTGATGATGAGGTCGAGGACGACGAGGCCAGTGAAAACATCAAACGCGAATCCCGACGAAACCGGACCTCGGGACGTCGCAATGGCAACCATGACTCCTACGCCCAAGCGGATGACGACGGTGACATGGACATGGACGAGATCGAAGTCGAGCCGCAGGCCATCGATGAGATAATTGAGGAGGAAGAGACAACGCGGTGCATATGCGAACAACTGGAATACCCTGGCCCGCCGGTCATGGAGGTGGCCGTCACCACCGGGCGGGCCACGAAAGGAAGAATGGGATCGGCCAGTGGTCCAGCCATGGCCGCCATCATCGCCTCAACCGGCGCGGATGCCCAGTTTGTCGGCGAAGAAGCTGGCAGTCTCTTTATTCAGTGCGATTCTTGCAAGGTCTGGCAACACGGTGGGTGTGTCGGGATCATGGAAGAATCGTCCTGTCCCGACGAATATTTTTGCGAGCAGTGCAGACCAGAATACCATCAGCTGGGTAAAAGTACTATTGGGTAAGTCGTCCTTCTGGCAGCGTGATTCCGCTGAGAAGCCATCGAATGGCACGATGAGCCTCTTCCGTCTTTTTCAATCTCTTTCGGTCGTTTGTTTTGGTGAATGTCACGCTGACTTGGTCCATGACACAGTCAAAAATACTCCAAATATCTCCCCGTCGTCGAACCGAATAAGCCTCTACCGAAATCTTCTCGAAAAGTCTCGGCCTCCCAAATCAAAGAAACCGAAGCTCAGGCAGCCAGAGATCGTGAACAGGGCAAATTGAGTGCGCGTAGTAGCGTCGATATCCTCACCAAACGGAGATCGACCATGAATAGTCGCGCCGCATATGACGAGGATGAAGTGCTCCGGAAAGTACTCGAAGAAAGCAAAGGAGACTTGCCGACAGGATCTGAACAAAGACGAGCCAAGCGAGTTCGAGATGATAGCGAAGAGTAAGTTTACTCCAATAAACCTCGGCCACATGTCTCTTCCCAAGAATGGGCCTAACAAGGACAATCAGTGCTAGCAAATCGCCGTCGAAACGAATGCGGACCATGTCCGTGTCCACCGGGCACTCTCGGACTTCGGAATCTGCCGGTATACCCGACTCGGACCAAGAAACACCTCGAGCCTCGAAACACTCCAAGAACGGGAGAGATGTGGGCTCCCGAAATTTGCGGGAAAAGGAGCCTCGGGAAAAAGATAAGGGGCGCCTTGAAGTCGCCAAACGGAGAGGCGGAAGGGGAGAACGGAGGAGAAATGACGGTAAGATGAAGATCAAAGTGTATCCAAACATGTTGGCTAACCCAGCGAAGGCCTCGAGTCGTCCCCCGTCTCATCCACCCCCCAACCCAACTCCTACCCCAACTCCCTCCCTCCCCGCTCCACCCTCCCTGACCCCAACGGCACCCCCACCCGCGACACCTCGACTGCCCTCCCCGACTCCCCCGCCCCCTCCACCTCTGGCGTCCCCCCTCACCCCACCTCCTCCCACAAAAAAGGCGGCCGACCCCCCACCAAACGCCGCCTCGGCCGCAACCAATACACCCGCGACCCCACCGCCAGCGCCGACCACAGCCCCAAACCCGACTTCGCCGACGCCAGCCCCAGCTCCGCCGACGCCTCGGGCGGCCTCCACCCCGACGTCGTCAACGGTGCCACCGCCAAATCCGACAAGCCTGATGGTGCCGTCCAGACCACACAAACCGGGACCGGCAGACGGAAGGGCCGCGAGCGCCACGGGCTGACGGATCTAAGGAAACGCGCGGCGTATATGATGGAGTATATCTCGCGTGTGCAAGTCGACCTCGCACAGCGGCCGGGGGTAAATGGCAATGGCAACGGCAGCGGCAGCGGCAGCGGGACTGGCACCCCGAAGAAAGGCCGACGCGCGGACGAGTCACCTGGGAGCGGTGGCGGCAGCGGAGCGTCGAGCCGCGAGGCGACAGTGAAGGAGGAAGGGAGCGTGGCGGAAACGTTACGGACGATGTTGAGCGGGGGCGGGGAAATGGGGTTATCGACGTTTCAGGGGCTGAGCACGATGGAGATGATGGATGATTTGACGCGGAAGTTGGTGCTATGGCAGCGGGAGTTTGGGAAGTTTGGGGAGAAGTGAGGGTGGGAGGAGTAATGGATTTATGAAGTATGGATAGTAGGTTGAATATATGGATGTTTATGATCATTAGGTGAATGAGTTGAGCATGCGTGACCGAGACCTGCGAATGGGGAGTTGGAGACGAGCTCGATTTGGCGGGAAGTATCTACGGAGTAAATGTGTTGCCCAGTGCATTTCCGTGCTAGAATAGCCTATTCACAGTACTGACCACGTGCCTCGGACAGAGACGTAGGTCAAATGAGGGTTCGCAGGCTGAAGGTATGTCAAGACCGTGAAACATGAAATGAGACTGAGATGCGTTGATGATTGGTTTATGGCTGACAGATAGTATATCAACAGAAGGAGCCCGAATATCAGGACTATGCACCCAGAAGCGCCCGGGTAGGATATCCCACGCTTTCCCACCAATTCCATAACCATGCCATCCCCATAAACTCCATTGATGCACCAAGAACCCCAAAACCACACCCTCCCCTCATACACCCCCATCCCCCTCCCCCCCAATCTGCCGCACCCACTTCATCATCCATCCATTCAACGGCCCCGCAAACCCATGTACCTGGCCCAAATGCTGCAACAACTTATCCTTCCTCACAAATGTCCGCTCCCCCTCCTCCCGCGCCGCACAGTTCAACGCCCGGTGCTCCGTCTCCAAATGCCTCCCCGTCGGTTCTCCCTCCCCACAAAACACACAACACCTCCCCCCTCCTCCTTTTCCTCCTATCCCATCCTCCCCACTCATCTTCCCCATCCTCTCTCCCACCTCCACCACCGCTCCCCCCAACAAACACGTCCACGCCTCCCTCGGCGCATGAATCGACGACACATGCCTCTGCAAGTCGCTCTTCCGCCGAAACCCGGCCCCGCATACCACACAGCGATGTGGCCTCCCCGGGTCCCCCGCGGGCATCTCCCGGCGCACCTGCCACGAGAGCAGCGCGTCGGCGCGCAACGCCGCGGGGATGTCGCCGCTGGAGATGGAGTGGCGGTGCTTGCGGCGGCCGCGGCGGGGGGGGAGGAGCGGAGAGGAGGAGGGGGGAAGGGGGGGGTGCCGCGGGAGGATCATGCTGGGAAGGGAGGGGGTAGAGGAGACTTCGGGGATGGAGGCGAGGGGGGGGTCAAGGGTGAAGGCCGGGGGGGAGGGGATGAAGGCGGGGGGGATGGGGGGTGCGGAGAGGGAGGAGATGATGGTGCTGGTGGAGAGGGAGGAGGGGAGGAGAGGGGGGAAGAGGGGGAGGTCGAGAGGGGGGTTAAACGGGAGGGGGAAGCCCGGGGGGAAGTTGCTGGTGAAGAGGGTGTCGGGGAAGGAGGACGGCCAGGTGGGGTCGGGGTACGTCGTCCGCGGTTGGTAGGGCTGTAGTATATCGTTGAATTGTGGCGCCGAAGACGTCCTGACGATCGGTTTCTGTTGGCCTTGGTCGGGCTGCTGGCCCGTCGGCGGTTCTCCTGCGCTCCTGTTAGTCTCTAGCGCATTTAGATCGCCCCATCGGCAATACCGAGCCATGATCTCCTGCTCCGCGCATTGTTGATATAGGTCTTCACCTGCTGCGCGCTCAACCCCGTCAAGTTCGCCAACGCATCCGCGTTTCCCGGCTTGAGATACGGGTCCTGCTTGTTGATCAGCAGCCACTGATCCAGCAACACGCGCGCGGCGGAGGGAAGTCGGCGTGAGGTCGTCCGGTTCGACGAGCTGGCGTGCGACTCCTGCCCAAGCGACTCCAGATCGTCGTCCAAGGCGTCGGTGGACGTGCTCTCGTTCAGGAACATCGAGGACCCGTCCGCATCTTGCAGCTCGTCATCCTCACCCCACATATCAAACATACCGGGCCTCACGACGGTGCCCCCAAACTCCGAACTGATGAGATCCATCGTTGGCTATCCGTCAGATTTGATACCGTTACATTACGTTCCGACGACGCGGTCATTATATAGCCGCAGCCCATCGTGGTTCGGCGGAAAACTTGGGTTGGCAATTTCTTTCTGCTGGAGATCATTTGCGGAAGGGGACGATGAAAAGGGCGTTGTTGAGGCATGGATGAGTTGTCACGAGGTTGCACAGTTGCGGTGGATGAAGCCCGCTAAGCCCCTTCAGGCAGACCGACGTTCCGAACACGACGATGCGACGGGATCATGGGATGGCAGGAATGTAACTTGACAAATTTGATGATGCGGCTCTCACACTTGCGGTCTGTATGTACGAATTGGAAAGAGTTGAGGTCTGAAATCGAGCCGCTGAGTGGGAATGCATGTGATACGGGGTCAGGAAATCAGAAAGTGTCATGGCACTGATAATAAATCGCTCAATCAATGGTGGTGGGCCGGCAAATGATATGTCACAATAAACGCTAACCTGTGACGCCGTGAGACCGAAATGTCTGGAATGATATGATACGCAGGAGAGGCTTGATTGTTCTAGGGTACTGGAAGCTGTCAGGATAGCGGGTGGTCAATGTCGGGAGCTGCTTAGTCCAACATCGAGGATTTCTCTCGCTATCCATGGTAACCTTGGCCGTATTCGAGATTGAACCAGCCTTTCCAAAAACCGAATGCCACTCATCGTGGTTATGCTAGGGGTTTGAGATACCTCGCCAGGTCTTCGGGGTTGACATCATGACATCGAGGCCATGTCGGGAGACGTTCTCGGTTCAAAGAAATTGTAAAGGGCCCGCCGACCATCCCATCGCTTGATTGCTTCCATGATCTTTCCTGGCGCGTGAACAAGAAAGCTAAGAAGTGCCAGAGTTAGCAGATGCGTGGAACGGCCAGTGGTTCGCCTCAGCATGGATTGCTCAGGGTAATGATGTCGATCGGGGAAGGGGAATAGAAGGGTTGAGATGCGGAGTGGAGGGATAAGGCTGATAACGATAAAAGGAAATCGATCGAGTGATAGAGGTCTGAGGGTCACGGTGCTTTGTGTCCAAGCCTCACAATGAACCTGGAATCGGTGGCGGTCCCGCCATAGTACCCGCATACGCTTGACCTCCGCCTCCGTCATTCCAGGCGTTCCGAATCGGGTTCGATGGAGTATGAGGCAAAGCCCCCGGTGGCATCGTCTCGTCGTACCCGCCGCCTTCGTAGCCGTCATCTTCGAAGAACTCCTCCTCATAGTCCTGCTCCCCCCCTGGAACGGCTTGTGCCGAGCTTCCGCTTCCACTTGCTTGGTGTTCCATGCCATCACCGTGGGTGTGTTTGCCCTGATTCGCATCGACGCCAGCTGCATTGGCATTGGGGTTAGCGCCTTTCCCCTTCTTGCCCTTCTTGCCACGCCTGCCCCTCATACGCGCCTTCTCCAGGAGCCGGCGTTTCTCCTCCATGCGCTTTTGCTCCGCTCGGTCCTTGATTTCGTAGGATCGGATCAAGGCTTCGGGGCGGGTGCCGAAGATGGCCTCGTACTCACAGAACTCACAAATCCACATGTCGCTGGGTGCGGGAGGATTGTGGATATTCTGACCCTCTTGCTTCCTGCGTCGCTCACGTTCGGCTTTGGCGTAATACATGGCTGCGGGGCGCTTGGGGCGAGGTGGTTTCGCTTGAGTCGTTTGGGGAGGGGCTTGATTCGGGTTCGGCGCCGTGTTTGGCGGCGCCGGAGGATCATATGCTGCTTTTCCAGAAGTCATAGGTGGCGCTCGTTGGCCGGGATGCATTGGACGTGCTGCCATTCTGCGTTGATCTTCTGCAGTGTAGGGTTCTTATCCAGAGTGTCAACTGTGAGATAAGGGAAGTTTAGGCAACGCAAGCAGCTTACCTGGCCAGACCACGTTGTTGGAAGTTTCCGATTCGCAAGTAAAAGTGAACTGACTGTTTTTGGGTCCCTGTTTCGTTGCCTCTTGTTGTAGTAGGCTAACGTTCCCGTTTGTTTTAGTCGTGTTGTTTTGCCCGTACTCAGCTGCGTTGGCGATGGCTGCGGAAATAATCCCCTGCTCTGAAGGTGGACGACAAAGTTAGCAACATTTATCACATGAAAGGAATCACTGCCATGCCTTTCTCGTCAACACTCGCCCCGCCACTCCACTCTTTGCGAGTCACTGCATTTGGATTCGCACGGGCATTCGCTCCAGACGTTGATAGACCTAATGGTCTTCGTTCAGAAGGAACCCGACCGTTTCGCCCGTAACGTCCGCGTCCGGCGCCTGAGATCCCTGTCCCCGATGCAGAGGTGGCCGAAGTACCGGAGCCATAGTACTGACCTGTCCCGGAAGATGGGTCGTCGAATTGACTAGCATCCGTACGACTACTCGGCACCGCGACTCCAGGAGCCTCCGCGAGCACGGCGTTGCTATGCGCGCCAGCAGCGCCAGACACTGGAATCTTCCGCTTCTTTTTATTGTTCGTGTTCTCGAAGGACTCGTATCCATCGGCCGAAGACGTTGTCGAACCAGGTGGTGGTGGTGGGTGTGCAGCGGATTGGCCTCGAGGACGTGCAGATCCATTCATCTCCTCCATAGACGCACGATCGATCCGGCCGGTCTTCGCATTATATCGCTTTCCATCCACCCAATATCCGTCATCGACGTCTTCCTCTTCAGCCGGCTTGTGAACATCTGCTGGATGAGCATGCTGATAAGGATGTTCTCCTTCACCTCGATGTGGACCTGCGGAGAAGGGTGGTGATTGACTGTAGGGGAAGCTGAAGAGCGGACCGGTTGCCGGAGGTGCAGGCGGATAGACAATGGACCCAGCCTGTTCTGGGGACAATCGGGAGCGAAGAGGACGCTTTGGTAGCGGTCGAATTGGGCGATCGGGGTAGGTAGCCGAGTGAGGGCTGGGAGACTGCCGTACAGGCACTGGCGTTCTGGCCCATTCGTATACTGCGATACATATCACAAAGGTTAACAGGAGACTCACACCGGCAGCGATGAGGGAGGCGAGGAGTCGGGTCTTGAGCGAAAGGCCGTCCTCAACTTGGGCATCTCCACCGTCCTCGGCCATGCTGTCGATCAAGCGGTCTAGGCCGCAACGCAGAAAAAGAAGGAGTTGGAGCGATGGTGGTGAGTGAGTTTGCGAGGAAGCGGCGTAAATGCAGGAAAATCGCGAGAAGTAGGAGAGAAGTGGGAGAGCGAGAAGGTAAGAAGACGAACCAGAATTGACAGCAGCCATCGTTTCACGTTGTGTAAGTGACATCCAACTTCTTCAGGATTTCTTCCTCACGCCGTTGATCCTTTCCACTCAGCTGCTGTGAGGTGGTATTATTTCTCCTTCCAATATCCAACACGCAGACACGACGGCCAGGCAACGCCAGATCACCCGCCAGTCAACAATCGAGGTACCCTGGGCCGGTATCCCAAAGCCAAATCCTTCTAACCGATATCTGATATGGATTTATAATGAACTGGCCGTTTTGGGCAGCGAAAGGAGGTCGTCGTACCGAGATCCGGACACGGCGAATGCAGGAATGAGCACACTTCGCAGGCGCTGTATCCAAGGTCCACACGGTTCGGATATATACCAACACTGGGGGAACCAATGCTGGGAAGAGGGCGTTGAAGAAATAACGTTGGAGATGATGTATGCGATGGGCCACAGGTAACCAAGTACGTGGTGGTAGGAATGGATGGAGTTGCCATTGTGCTGAATAAGTCGATTTGGTGAGTTTTGGTGTCTTGGCCCGAAGCCCCACTCCTACACGTGCCCTGTGCTCTGACAGTAATTTCTGGACAATTTCTTAACCTCCCCTAACTCAGGAGTGCTTCATAGTTCATCATGACGGCCGTATGTATTTCCCATCATGCTGGATATATTCGTTTGGTTATGGCAAAGTCTCTTTTGATGTTGTTGCATTGCTCTTCGAGTTATATCTTCCTTCGTATTGTGTTCATGGAATCTAGGTTGAATAGGAGGTCCGCGCGATTCAAGAGTCAAGACACGCCAGGTCTCCGTCCTAATGCATTTCAAAATGACAGGTCCAATGACAGGGAGACACATTCTAAATGATACATAAACTAATGACCTCGCTTCTGTCCATAGGAACTGGTTTCTCCTTGCTAGACTCTTGATTTCAGTTTAGAGTTTATCCGTAACCTCGCAAATGCCGCAAAACCCGCTGCCCCGAATGCCAGTGTACCAGCATAGAACATCGCCGGACGATAGGCTTTGATGCCCTCGTCTGTTCCACCGTATGCAGCTAACAAATATCCAGCGATAGGAGCACCCTAAATCCGATTAGAAGCCGGGAATCCCAATATTTTGAAGAGCTTACCATCAAATATCCAGCCGTCCATCCGGTCACAACCATGCCCATCACGAGAGACACTCGAGCCGATCCGAATACGTTTCCGACAACCGTTGGCATGGTCGAAAAGAACCCTCCATTGCTGGCTCCATTGAGGACCACGAACACCGCCATCGGCGCCAACGTCGTACTGACGGGCCACAGCGCGAGCATGCTCAACGCACTCCCCACGAGCGAGAGGATGAGCGTATTGAGAGGGCCGATCCGGTCGGTTGCAAGACCACAGCCGACTCTCCCAGCCGCAGAAGCCAGGTTGAATCCCGCGACCAGACCGGCTCCCGTCTTGGTGCTAAACCCAAGTGAGCGGCTATAGAGGGGCAGGAAAAACGGCGGGACGAAGAGAGGGAACGTCCCGATGGCACTAGCGATGAAGATCATCGAGAAGCGGAAATCCCGGAACATACGCCTGTAAATATCAGCATCAGTCCGTCCAGATGCCAGTCCACATACCAGTCCACGAATTCCGCAATCGGAGTCAACGCTCTATCCTTAATCAGCCACGCCGCCGGCAATCCCGTCGCCCAGATCAGACACCCCACCACCCGAAACGTCCATGCCGTCCCAACCCTCTGAATTAACGCCTCGATCACAAACGACATCACCGCTCCCCCAACCCCACCCCCTGCAAACACCAGCCCGTTCGCCAACCCCCTCTTCCCCACGAAATACTGCGCCGGCGCCGTCGCCACCACCATAAAACCTAACGACGTCCCCAACCCAAACCCCACCCCCATCGTCGCAAACAGTCCTCCCACCTCTCGCATCGCCCACCCGCTCAGCACCTGCGCGCCCCCCATCATCCCCACCGACACCAGCGCCGTCGTCCGCGTCCCCATCCGCTGCATCAGCCGGCTCGCGAACACCGACGTCGCCGCCATGCATGCGGGGCTGAGGGATCCGACGAACGAGAGTGTCGAGGGGGAGGAGAGACCGGAGGTGACCAGCGCGTCTTGGATGATCCCCCAGCAGTACGAGGTGCCGATCACCCAGAAGGTGAGGATCGCGCAGCCGAGGACGACGTACCACCCGGGTCCACCGTCGGGAGGAGCGGTAGCGGGGGGCCGGGAGGGGGGGTCGTCGAGGGGGTGGGAGGGGGAGGTGAGCCGGAGGTGATGCGAAGGGGGAACAGTCTCGAGCGAGATGGTGGTGGTGACGGTTTGGGTTGTAGATGCCATTGTAGACTGAGTATGGTGATTTATGACTAGAAATGTAGAATTAAGAATATGACACTCCTATTGCGGAGAACCGTTTCAAGACGTGGAAGTGAGATAAACTTTGACAGACTTGAAGATCGGGAAAGGTATTTGGATATGTCTCCGTCAGAGAAGCTGTCGCACTTGATAATCCAGATCGTTCAATCAAAGCCCACGGAATATTTATCCGGCGGAAGTATGTCTACCGAGCTGAAATCATGGCGGTGGCAATGGCTTACATGCAGTGCGTTCGATGCAGTCAGGAGCCAGCTTATCTTTGAAACCTGCGAATTTGCGGGATCATTGCCGGTAGGGAATGATACTACTGTATGTCCTTTGGTCGCCAAAGCCACCACCTTGGCGTCGAGCCGATCGTCGCCGTGGTAAGCGGGCGGGGTATGCACTATGCAGTCAAGTGGCTTCTTGAACCAAATAATAGTTAGTTAGTTAGTTAGAATGTAAGTTAACTTAAGTTAAGTTAGTTAACTGGGACTTAGGTAACTAGTAACTAGTAGTTATGTGCATCGTCACTCAGCATAGAAACACTCAGGAAACCTTTATCATACTCTCCATCCGGACATCAGACTAGATGGTCGATCTAATAACTAGTTAGTTACACAGGGAACTAACTATTATAACATTCATTGGGCCGGGGCCGCTTATGCTCCAATATCTCTCTATTCCAATGCCAACATTCTTGCCAAAACGCTTTAGTGGTGACGCTACAAAAGGGGCCGAGAAACAGAGTAGAACCTCTATCTCCTATCAAGACCGCTCTCCCTCATCGCTTCTCACAAGTCCAGCCATGCAACACCCCCAAGACGCCAGCATTAATTCCGAGATCGTGCTGCGGAAATTAAACATCTGCGGATGTAATGTCGTACGGGAAGACCATCACGGAATGACCCGCATTGTGCGCCGGAGAAGCGGGAGCAAAGACATTGGGATAGAGACCATCCTCGCGCTCCGATTCGGTGGATGGTGGGGGTACCTATGATAGGGACATCTCCAAAGTGAACCTATGGATGCGCCAGCCTTCGACCCAAAGCGCTCTCGTCCGCTGGGCCTGGGACGAGGGAGAACAGAACCGGATCGAGCACAATAGCAAATATGTTCTTGTAAGATTTTGATAATACTCAAGGTGAAGACGGCGGGCGGACTTGTGGGACAGAAAATAGCATATAACAAGTCCTTTGCGGACGGGGTGGGATTACAACCCATTGAAATAGGAACATATCAACCAGTGTGCCAGTTTAGCGGTCCTTGTCAGTCGATGCTTGATCGTTGCTTGGTCTCGCGGCATACTTGAGACGAGTAGAGGCAGACCGCCTTGTAGAGTAGAAGGAGGGATGACGGATCAAATCATCGACACTCGTGTTGCCTTGCCATTGAAATCCAGATACGTTTCGACATGCCAGCTCAGAGAGGCAGTATGCGACCTATTGGGATGTTCATGACCAACACAGAGACGAGGGTTGTGGTGATCTCATAACCTGATCGTTGCGTGTTACCAACCGGACCCATATTGGCAAGATGGGAATGGTCATTTAAACTCTTGATGAGATGATAGTGCTGTCATTTTGAAACTTTTGCTGCGGGGAGAAGGAGAGACCACGAAGTTGGTGTAGGATCTCCTGTTCATCAATATCCGAAGGCAAAATAAGATGCCTGACTAAGCCTTAGTGCCTGAGTTCGTTGAATTTTGCCTGGCATTTGAACCTGAACGACGCAGATTTCCAATGACGGATTTCTAAGCGCAATAATATCTCCATAATTATTTTCCCATGAACAAGCAGAGCTTATGACAGTTTAAGTTCTCCTAGGTTCTCCTACGCTCGTTCTAGAGTTACTTTGGAAGTCTCATTACTTTTATTTGCTTTGTTCAATTTCCCTCATGGCATCCCATCATAATGAACGACCAGAAGAGGAGGAGTTTGAGGAAGAGATCCTAGAAGAAGATGATGCAGCCGAGGAGATTGATAACCAGGACGATGATGTTCCGATGGATTCGGACTACGATGATGAAGAGGAGGTGATAATCTTGCAGAATGACAGCGTCGCCCATTTTGATAGGCACACTGACTCGGTCTTCTCAATTACGTCACATCCCCGTCTCCCCAATATCATCGCAACCGGTGGCGGCGACGACGTAGGATACGTGTTCGACAGTGCCGTACAATCACCAGTACTACCGGCCTCCTACTCCACGCCTCCCCAAGAACCGGAACGACAGAGTATCGAGGCACTGGCAAAACTCGACGGCCACTCGGACTCCATCTGCGCCATCGCCTTCACGCAGCCGGCCGGACAATATCTTGTCACAGGCGGGCTCGACGGGCGGCTACGGGTATGGAAAGGAAGTAACGACGGCCGGCAATGGAAGCCCCACGCTGCCGCTCAAGAGGTGGAAGAAATCAACTGGATCGCGACCTCGAAACTCACGTCCCAACCGAACGCCTTCGCTGTTGGCGCCTCCGACGGCAGCGTCTGGGTCTACCAAGTCTGCGAAGGCGCCTCGAACGACGAGAAATTGGTTCCGATCCAAACCTACTTCCCCCCCGCCTCCGCTAGCAGCACGGCCGGCGCGTGGTCGCCCTCGGGCGTCCTTCTCGCAACGGTGTCGGACGATGGATCGTTCAACGTCTACGATCCGTTCGGCGAAGCCGCTGCCAAAGGACTCGTCCCGGCATCCGGCCAGCAATCGCTCGTTTCGCTCGGCCACGGGGACGAGCGCTTCCGAGTGGAGGGAGGGCTGTTCAGCGTCACGATCGGACCCACGGGATCGTTCGCGGCGATGGGTGGCGCGGACGGTGAGATCAAGGTGGTCGGGATGCCGAGGCCGGCCACTCCAGGGGCGAAGGGGAAAGCCGGCGCGGCCAATCCGGGTGGGCAACTCCTTGCGAGCTTGAACGTGCAGAAGGACAGCCTCGATGAAACGCCCGCGGCGAGTATCGAGAGCATCGCGTTTGCGGCGCCGTCGGTGGGGTTGATGGCCGCTGCGTGCGTCGATGGGAGCATCTCGGTCTTCGACACGTCGCGGAACTTTGCGCTGCGACGGTATATCCAAAACGCACATGATGGTGAGGCGGTCATTTCGGTGAAGTTTGTGGGTGGTGGTGGGAATGGGGATTGGTTGCTCACCAGCTGTGGCTATGACGGGGTTATCAAACGGTGGAACCTCAGGGGTGGTGCGGCGGTGGGAGCTGGCGCGCAGTCGACGTCAGTGGAGGATTTGAGGGAGAAGGGATTAGTTGGCGAATGGAAGGGGCATAGAGGTGGTGGAGAGGGTGGAGGTGTGCTTGGGTTCGTCCAGCACGGGGATAGGAGCGGGAATTGGGTGGTTACCGCTGGCGATGAGTTTGTGTTCTCCTTCTATTGATCTTATGCATGCTAACTGTGACTTTAGTGGCGTATCGTTGATCTTCTTGACACCAGTCGGTTGAAGGGTCAAATAAAGTTGAATTGGGCATCGATTGAGGGCTGTATCAAACGGGCGGGTTGTATATACATGAGATTAATCCCCAAGCGGCACACGCTGCGTTATGAACACTTCCACATGGAGGATATCCCTCCTTCAGCAGCGCTACAGTGAACCTCAACCCTACAACGTCCTCGACCATGACAATCATCCGTAGAGATATCTTTGACATATCCCTCGCAGGAAATATCATCCATTTATTTCCCTGTAACCATAAAGACATTCTATTTCCAAAGTTTGTGCACTCGCCTTGAATATTTTATGTCTACAATCGCCGCCTCTGATTGGACGGGAACTTGGACCACCTTGACATCAGAAATTCCAACTCTGCAATTCCTTCTCATATACACACCGCACTTCCGCATTAACCTCTACTCTTTCCACTCTCCAACTTCCCATACCTTCCCTCCGACTCCCAAATCCCAAAATGTCGAACCCCAAAATGTCCAACCCCAAAATGACCCCCCACATCGACCGCGTCCGCGCCGGCCGCATCACCAAACCCGGCGCCCGCCCCCCCACCACCCATAAGCCTCCCCCCGCCAGCAAACCCACCAAGAAGTTCCCCGTCAATGCGCTCAAGAAGCGGATCCGTGACCTGGAGCGACTGCTGAAGAACGTGGACGAGCTGGCGGCGGACGTGCGCGTGGAGCGGGAGCGGGAGCTGGCGGCCAGTCGGCATGAGCTGGGACATAATCAGGAGCAGCAGCGGCGGGGGGATATGATTAAGCGGTATCATATGGTGCGGTTTTTTGGTGAGTACGCTCGACTGTTGATTATCAACGAAGATAGAAGGAGGAAAAAGAGGAAGGCTAGGAGAATAAGGAAATAGAACAGGATATATTCCAGAACCTAGGTCGCTAACTACTTTTCTTTTCTTCCCAGAACGCCAAAAAGCCACCCGTGCGCACAAAAAAGCCCTCAAAGCCCTCAACGCCACCACCGACCCCGCCGAGCGCGCCCGCCTCGGGCCCCTCGCCAAAGCCGCCGAGATCGACCTCAACTACACCATGTACTACCCGCTGATGCTGCCGTACGTCTCACTGTACACGGACCACGGGGCTTCCTCCTCGAAGAACGGCGGTGCGGACGATGTGGAGAAGGACAAGGCGACAGAAGAGGGGGGGAATGAAGCGGTGCCGAAACGGCGGGGCGACGTGCATGTGCGCGGGATGATCGTGGAGGCGATGGAGAATGATTCGTTGGAGCGGTTACGCGATCGGGGGGATGTGGAGGAGATTCAGAAGCGGAGGGGGAAAGCGAAGGCTGCAGCGACGGCGTCGAAGGGAGCAAGTTCAAAGACCGGGAAAGATGGGAGGAGAGAGGGGATGGAGGGGGAGGAAGTTGATGAAGGGTGAGGGAGGGGGGAGGATGGTAGTTTCAGTAATGCGGCAAGTTGCGATGTCGGCAGGGTGGCAGGGTTGGGGATGTTGGGGAAGACGGTGGTAGATGATAGTGGGATTACGGCCAGGCCTACTCTATTGGGAAAATGACTGCGCATATCTACTGTCATATATTTAGGCACGAGGATCGTGTCTAGAATGGCAAGGAATGGACATCTGATATGTGCCACCTTCTCAAGGGAAAGTCGGTGGCGGCAGGTTCTCTATACCAGCGTATTATATCAACGAAAAGCTGTCAAACAAAACCCATGAAGTCACATTGTTAAAAAGTCAGGAGTCAAACCTACGACAGGATACATCACTCATAACGCATCACAATCATTAAAAAATGCCAGTTCTAAGAGCGAAACAAAATAACCATTTCTATTCAACGGACTATTTGAACAAAATCCCACCCCGTTCGGAATCACCCACTCTCGCGCGTCGCAGGGCAAACGAGAGAAGGTGGTGATCAACCAAAAGGGAAGGAAACGGAAGGAAAACAAAACCGAGAATTTTGGATGAAAGGGAAAAGGCGAATGGGGACGGTGAGATGCGAAGCATGTGATGAAGCGCGGTGATTTTGAGAAAAGGGATCCATCATTTTAGTACAGGGCGAGAATTGGGGGAAAGGTAGAAAATAAGACTCCTGATGCGTGTGCCCGGGTTGTTGTGGTTGATAAAGTACAGTGTTTTGATTGCTTTCGAAATGAAAAAGACGTTCCGAGCAGGATTCACCGAGAGGCTTTACTTCCCCTCGTCCCCCAGATCCCGCTATTCAGGCACCCGATAGAGAGGGATTCTATTCTCTATCAAACGCATGATCCCAGAAAACGTGGAAAAAACTTGGCATCTCTCGCCACACGGCACCAGATCGGCCCCCATCGCCTCGACTCGCAGCTATCCACCAAACCATCCTTCTCTCTCCACCGGGTTGCAATCGTGCAATCTCACACCATCACCCCTTGTGTGTGCGCTGGGCTTGTCATTGTGTGGGGCGAGTGATTTACTTGAACTTCTTGCCGAACAGGATGAGCTGGACCTGGTCGTAGATGGACAGCACACCGGCACCAGCGACACCACGGAGGATGTTGGCACCGGCACCCTTGAAGAGCGAGCGGATACCCTCAGCGGCGACGATCTTGTTGAAGGCATCCAAGGAGGACTTGTACTTGACGGCCTGGGGAGGGTTAGCAATGGGTTATGGGGAGGGGATGTTGGAAAAACTCACCTCTCCGGAGGTCATCATCATGCGACGGCGGACGGTGTCAAGAGGATACGAGGCGATACCGGCACCGGTGGTGACGCACCAACCGAGAGCGAACGAAGCGAGGAAGTTGCCCTCAAGAGGACCAACGAGGACAACCGGCTTGAAGGAATCGTAGAGACCGAAGTACAGACCACGGTAGACGACGATTCCGAGGACGGAGGGACCGAACCCACGGTAGAGACCAGCGACACCGTCGGAAGCGAGGGTCTTCTTGTAGACATCGACGAGCCCGTTGAATTGACGGTCACCGCCCGACTTGGCGTTCTTCGCGTCGTTGGCGAGACGGGTACGGGCGTAGTCCAGGGAGTAGACGAACAGGAGGGAGGTCGCACCAGCAGCCTGAGATTGAATGAGTTTTTGACACGGAATGGGATGATGTTTGTTAGAGACTTACACCACCGGAAGCCAAGTTGCCGGCCATCCACTTCGCGTAACCATCACGGTCCTTCTTGAAGTTGAACATGGACTTGTAGGTATCACGGAAGGCGAAGTTCAGCGCCTGGGTGGGGAAGTATCGGATGACGTTGGCAGTGTTGCCTCTCCACAGGGACATGGCGCCCTCGGAGTTGATGGTTCGGGAGAAGCACTCCGTGATACCAGCATAACGTTTCTCCAAACGACCGGACTTCAACATCTCATCCTGGGAAAGGTTAGGTCGGGTTCATTGATGCCATCAATGGCGGTGGGCGAATGTACGAACCTGATTCTGGATGAGGAGCTTGACACGCTCGATGGGAGCGGCGGCGGTCTTCGAGACGGCGGCGGCAACACCACCCACTGTAGATAAGGCGTCAGCAAGCTGTCACGGGACCGACATTGTCAAATGGATGGAGATTCCATTCGACGGCGATGCGCCCGAGATGAAACATACTCAAGAAATCGACCATGAACCCCTATGAAGAAATAACCGTTAGCAAAAATGTTTTCCATTTTGATGATCCCAGATCCTGGTACCGAGATTGCTACGGCGGTCCAAAGAACACGGTTGACAAGCTGCGGAAATGGCATTGACGATGCTCATGTGTGTCATTAAGCTTCACGATGCCAATACCGAGCCATTGATGCCGATGTTGGATGGACGCCATTGACCGCTGCGGCCGAATCTGTGATCAAGAGTTGACGAAAAAAAAGCTTACCGGCATCCCGAGGACGGATTTATCTTGTTGCGACATGATGGCGGTTGTGCGAGGAATCCGACCGAATTAACTCGTCGTAGGAGAATGGAAAAAGGCGAAGGAACGGGGGTGGAGGGGAGAGATTGCAAGATTGCGCGACGGAGAAAGATGAAAGGAAGAAGATGTGAGAAAAAGCTGGGAGGAGGAAAGGGTGATGGGAAGAAAAATGAGCCGTGAGAAATTTATGGAGTTGGCGCTGGGCGCACCAGAGGACGGCGCGCGACCGGGCCAACTCGGGGCGTGTTTTTCGCTGGCCACTCGCACGGCCTTTTCATTCACTTGCTCTCACTGCAGTCCGTAACAAAGATAACGACCTCCCACGATTCCCGATTTCACCTCGGGGTTCCCAGGCCCAACGGGGGGATGGGCCGAAGGGTGGACTTCGCCGCCACAGCAACAGAAACAAAGTTTTTACGATGGTTTTTTTTTTCAGGACCCAGTTAATCTTGGTTGGGAAATGGCTGTTTTGCCGTTTTGGTGAGAGGATATCACATGCAGATCCCTATGAAGAATTGAAGATATCGATCTGAGAGTTGAGAGTTTCTCACGATGCGGCTCTGGGATCACGACATGTAACGACGGCTCTTTGGCTTTGGTTTGCTGCCCTCTGGAGACAGCTGCCCTCCGGAGACTGTTTTCCATCCATTGGTCCCTCAATCGATTAACTTGACCAATGCTTCATCAATCCGATCATATCTCCATCCAAATCATCCCCAATTCCCAACTCACGGAGAAAAGGACACTAATCCCGTAGTACAGGTATGGTACGGTATTATAATATTATTACACCATTCTGGGCCGTCTTCCCCTGAGATTAGGTCCGATCCAGTTTTGTTGCCATGGGAATAACGACTTAACGAGAGATGCCGAAGGCACCAAGGCTGACATGGATTAAGAAGAATCTTGGATAAGCTGCCAAGTCGAGCATCAGGATTGGACGCTGTGGATTGTGATTATTATCGATTGATTATTGAATTACCGTCCATCTACCATTACATACCGGTACACAACTTGTACTTTTCCGTAAGAACCTAACATACGTAAGGTATACTGTCGACCTTCCCTCCCTCTTGAACAACCCCACTTCAATACACATACGGAATGATGCGATACGGCACCCGCCGACAATACTCCTCCCAATCCGCCCCATACTTGTTCCGGCACTTCGCATCGTCCCTCCGCTCCCGATGCACCAGCAGCACCGCGAAGTACGCGAGGTAGAAATACGTCACCACCATTCCCCAATACCGCGCCTCGCCTACCTCCACACTCGTCCCGCCGCCCGCGCTCCGCACGATCTCGTACCCCGCCAGCCCCGTCGGGAGGCAGTACGCCCACGACTGGATCCAATCCCCACAGTAGTTAATATGCCGCGCCCGCCCCCACCACCCACTCACCAGCAGCCGGCTCCCCGAGCGTGTCTCAAGGTACTCCAGATGCGCGACGCGGGGGTCCTCAGGGTTGTTCCTAAAGATGTTTTTCTCGTTGTTGGAAGCGCGGAAGATATAATAGCCGAGGGCTTCGGTGGCGAAGATGAGGGCGATCTGCGGGTAGGTGAGGGTGACGGGGTGCACAGCCAGGTAGCGCGGCTGCAGGGAGAAGATGAAGGGGACCCAGACGAGGTCGCCGAAGGAGAGCATGAAGCCGAAGCCGTCGACGATGACGTCGATGGTGGTGAGGATGGCGGGTTCCATGAAGATGGAGTCGATAACGTAGAGAGTCTGCGTGCCGACGGAGAAGAGCATGCTGAAGGAGATGTAGTGGTAGGTTCGGTATTGGTGGATCACGAATGTGGCGTTGAGAATCATCCAGAGGAGCATCCCGGGACGGAGCTCCATCCACGTCTTGATGTCCACCTCAGGAATCAGCGGGATCTTGATTCGGGAGTTCAGCTCGCGGCCCATGAACCAGTCGTGGATCATGTTCCCGGTGAGGCCGTGGGAGGCCAGTTCGCGGCGCTCGGGGTTGCCCGGTGGTCGGACGCCGAAGCTCTTGAGGTAGGTGTACGTCGCGAAGATGATGGAGAGGATGATGTTGCTGGTCATGATGGGGATGTAGTTCTCCCAGATGAAGGTCCAGAGTGGAGCGTCTTCGATGCCGTGGTATGCTGTGTACGCTGCGAGGCCGGCCAGGGTGGCCAATGCGGAGTAGAAAGCTGTGCGAAATCAGATACCGCATAGGATGGCGTGAACGGCAACGAACCATTGAATCGATACCTCAACCTCCCGCCATAACGCAGCATCGTTCCTGAGACCTCGTTCGCCGGGATGATGGCGTAGAGAAACAGACTCAAGAGGTAATATCCCACGGTGAGCGCGAACGCCTCGCAATTGAACAAGCTCGACCAGCCCGCCCATCCTGTCTCTTCCTTCAGCTTATCGAGCGTCAATTGCGACGGGTGCAGCAGCGACGGCACGGGACACCCGGAGACGTCGTTGCAGAGGAATCCCATGCTCCATGTCAGGAGCGGGAGGGCGATGATCATGGGGAGGATGACCCAGCTGTATTCATCGTTAGCATGGACGGGTGTCGATTCTGAGGTTGGCTGGAGAGCTTACGGGCCGCCGAAGGAATAGCCATGGCGTTCGTAAACCAGTCGTTTTGGACTGTCTCTATGCTTGGGAGGCATTGTACGGGCAAGCGAAGGCTGAATGCAATAGTTTCGCGTGCTTGATGAGGGGGGGATGATGGCCGACCTTTATATTTGGGGGATTAGCTACCCTAGCGACGCATTTGTCGGATTAACGTCACAAACCTGGCTGGGGAGAACCAACGCGCGGCAATACCTGAATTTGGCACCCACAGGACCTTCTCTTCGACACTCTCAAATCGATCTTGGCATTATTATTGAACAAAGAACATCGTACGACCCGGAACTTAAGGAAGTTGTCATTCATACATAATCATCTGTCGTGGAGACATGGACCTCTCGGTCTCTTTCCATCCGGACGCGGAGATCTGGGCTCATCTACATCCCCTGTCAGGCACCAAGGCGGCTACTTACCTTAGCGCCTTTGTCATAAGCGTGGCTGCCAATAATACCGTAATTTTCTCCAGACTCCATCGCGTCTAACCCATTTTGTACGAACAACTGTAATATTTCTAATATATGTATTTAGATATAAATTTCTGAAGCAATCATCTAGCAGTAGTCTTCACATATTATATATGACTTAGATAGAGCCCCGAAGACCATGTTCCTTGTAGAGACTTGCCTCCTTCGGTAATAATTACATGTACTTTGTAATCACCTCCGCCTACTAACCCAGGTTTCCTCGGAACGGTGCCTGGGCTTGGCACTTCCCTTGTCAGAACATCAAGCAATACGTAGACATTCTTGCTATACTGAAGTCCGAACTTTGAAATAACAAACTTACCTTGGACTCAGAACGCTTCCCAATCGCTCTGAGCTCCTGATCAAGAAATGACCCCCAGCCTCACCTTCACAGCAAACCCCGTTTGCCCTCCATATTAACAGCACCTCCGCTCCCCGATCTTCATCCCATCCTCCAACCCTCCATGAAGCTCCCACATCTCCTCCCTCTCTCCCTCGCCCTCCTCACCCTCGCCGACAACAAACCCCCTAAACCCCCCGCCCCCTGCACCATCCGCTCCCACAGCACTGGCACCTTCTTCGACCTGAACCCGATCGCTGTGCACCCCGTCAAGAAAGCGCTGTCGGGCGCGGAGTCACCGCACAGCTGGCGCGCGAAGGGGTACCACTACGCGGCGAACTTCTCGGTGAACTTCTGCGCGCCGGTGGTGGAGGAGGTGAAGGATGTGGTGGGGGTGGAGAAGGGGCTGTGGGGGAATGTGAGCGCGTTTTATGAGATGGGGGGAAAGGTGTATTCGTTGGGGTGAGTTCCGCTCTGGCTTCTTATGTCGGGTGCATTTCGCTGGTTGCGATGGACGTCGTGAAGGAAGGGATATGGAGGCTGACTGTGTGATTTTATAGGAACCAAAACACCGAACCCGTCATCCAAGGCCGAAACCTCATCCTCAACTACACCAACGGCTCCCCCTGCCCGTCTCCCCCCTCCAAACGTCAACTCCACATACACACCCCCAACCGCCCCAAAGACAAAGACTCCGAAGACAAGGACAAGCACGACGATGACGACGACGACGACGACGATGACAAGAAACCCGACCATAAAAAACCCAGTAAAGACAAAGACCAGCCCATCCGCCGAAAAGCCGCCCTCATCCACCTCCTCTGCGACCGCGACCCCCTCGCCCCCAAAGTCGCCCTCGCCTTCCTCGGCACCCTCGACGAATGCACCTATTCCTTCGCCGCACGCTCGATGGCGGCGTGTGGGGGCGTGTTGACGCCGCAGCAGACGTTGAGTCCGGGCGGAGTATTTGGCGTGATGTGAGTAGTTCCTTTGCGGATCGATGCTGTTGCAGGGCTAATTTGGGTGGCAGTGCGCTGATCGCGGTGTTGGTGTATTTGGTGGGCGGGTGCGTGTATCAGCGGTCGGTGCTACATCAGCGGGGATGGCGGCAGATGCCGAACTATTCGATGTGGGCCGGATGTTTGGGGTTTTTCGTGGTGAGGACTACCTCCTTCTATATTCCCCCATAGTGTGACCGCTAACGGTGTTTCGCAGGATATCTTCGTCATCGCCACCTCGTCCTGCGCGAGACTTCTCCCGAGGAATCGCGGATACAGTCGCGTGTCGTTGGGAAATCAACATCGCGGGCGGGGGACGAACTCGGAGGATGAAAATCGGTTGATTGATCAGCTAGATGAAGAATGGGATGATTGATGGTTTGGGGATTGTGCATTATAGGCGTTGGAAGGAGGTCATGGTGGGTTTTGTATCCATCAGGCGGTTGGATGTCTAGATACATCGGGTACATATGCAGCCGCGATGGATGGAGCCTGGGATATATGTTTGAATCACTTGTCATTTATGTCGCCCAAGTACATGTTCCTGACATATTTTGAATTGTCTAGGCTACCCACACTAGCGGTGAGTAGAGTATGAAGGATCTATCCACATCCCAGAAGTTTGCAATTGCTGTTCATTCCTCCTTGAGCATCGTCACACATGGCTGTTCAAACCTCCGTCTGATCCGCCTGATTGATGAGGAACGGAATCCCTCACACGGAAGACACCGCCGGCGCCTCCTCGACCTTCTTGAGGCAGTCGCGGAACTCGCTCCAGTGCTTCATCACGACGATAGCGCCGCACTCCTCCTTCAGCATCTTCGTCTTCTCCTCAATCTCATCGTCCTCGTACGGCCCAACATACCCAATCAGTGGAATCCCCGCATTCTTCGCCGCGGTGGCGCCGCTCTTGCTGTCCTCAATAGCGACGCACTCCCCCGGGTTGACGCCGATCTGCTTGCAGGCGAACAGGTAGACGGCCGGGTTGGGCTTGGAGGTAGGCTTCTCGAGTGAGGTAGCGGCACTGTAGACCCAGTCGGGGCGGAAGAACTTGTCCATGCCGACCTTGTCGAGGGAGGCCTTGACGCGGCTGAGGGCGCTGGAGCTGACGACGGCCATCTTGTACTTCCCTTCCTTGTGCAGGGCGTCAACCTCGTCCATGGCGCCAATGCAGGGCTCGGCCTTGGCCTCGAGCTTCTTGACGACGGCTTGCAGCTCCTTCTCGACGTACTCGTCCAGTTCGGCGTCGGTGAGGGTGATGTCAAACTTGCCCATCAGGCCGACCATCATGCCGCGGAAGTTCTGGCCGACAAAGTCCTTGAGGAGCTCCGGGCCAGTGTAACGCTTAGGGTTGCCTTTCTTCTCGAGGATCTCGTTGGCGAGGTCGGCGCATGCTTCGAAGGCGAGAACCTCGGAGAGGACGAGGGTGTTGTCGCAGTCGAAGAGGACGGTGGTGATCTTGGGATAATAAGCCATTGGAGCGGATTTGGTGGTTGGTGGATGTTAGGACTTGCCTTAGGCATTTTGGCGGATGTTCGTAGTTTCACTAGAAGATTTATGGGTTGGTCGAGCTAGAGAGGTGGAGATGTCGATGATGGTGGGGTAGCGTTGATGTTGATGTTGATGAGTTGGAAGCAAGGCAATTGAGTGAGAGAAGTTGAGTTGAAGGTGTTTTGAAGATGGAGAGAGAAGTAGAAGGAGAATATTTGTAGTTTGTTTTGAAAGTAAGTCACCAGCTGATTAAAAAAGAAAAAGTGAGTGGGAGGTGAAGGTGATGATAATGTCAGATGCAGGTGAAGCATGTGGGGGGAGGCAGCCAACAGTCCACAGTCCACTCCTCCAGCTCCCCCACAGTTCCTCCACAACCATTGTCAAGTCATATCCCACATGTGGAAAACATTGGAAACGCCGGGACAACGCATATGAAGCTCCAATTGCATTGAATCATAGCGCTTTAGATGATATCTGACACTCAAATGATAGGGGACCTCCTTTATTTCCATCCTTGAGCCATGCAATTAAACTTGTGCTTACAACCGCAGTCTGTCTACTCAATTCTATGCTGGTCAACCGTCAACACAACGAATGCTCCATGACCTCTTCTGCAATTCTGTTACTCCATCATCCATGCGGCTCAATTGTCCGGCGTTTGGATCCAGAGGGCTTGAACTTCTAGTGCCTGGAAAAGTAGTACTGGATACGCCACCATACCACAAACTTCCGATATCGACATGTTTATCCTGACTTCGCGTATTTGGCATGTTCCTATTCCTATCAACCATTGGCGTACCTGATTTTCCTCAGACTATCAAAACACTGCATCATGTCGTGGCTGGATCTTCTCTCGCCTCCCACGTAATGGCGGGCAGTGGAGGTTGAGGTCAGACCGCTTGTTCCATTGACTCGTGTGTTGTCAATGAGGTGTCTTTCGCTGCATCCTCCTGCAGATACGGTCCAGATCGTTCCTTTGGTTGCAGGCCGCTAATTCAAGTCATGGCGTTCGCATTTGGTATGACCCTAAGTTCTCCAGCCTTGTATTGAGTTCGCTCGGTTGCGACTTGTGGGTATTTTGAGTTCCTGACGGTTCCTGACGGTCCCTCTCGCAGTCAGTAAAGCGGGTTCTCAATGCAAAATACAATCTTTCTGCTCTTCGGATTTGCTTGACGGTGCATTAAAGAACCTTTAGAGCGACGTAGTACGCTCCGTCACTCCCGTGAGTCCCATCTCCGAACCATGTCGTCCACCGACGTCTCATCTTCTCACCGCACCACCTCACGATCTCCACTTACGGCAGACACCGCCATTATGAAAGGTTAGGCAGGGCCCGCGGGTCCGGGACAAATGTCCGCCAACAGGCTACGGCACGTGGAGGCAGAAAAAACATAATATTCCTTCACGATAGTCCGCTCCGCGTGACCGCGTGAGGATGCTGTGTCACCCCGCGAAACGCATCCCGCGCTCATGGAATCTCCGGAATTCCTAGTGCGAATAGCCTGAAGACTGGATCGTCGACGTGGCTAAAGCCACCAAGTGCAGACTGATCAATGATTGCAAAAGACGCCGATATTCACAGAAATGGGACACGGTGCAAAAAAAAGCCCCCCAAGGAAAAAGAAACTGCATCGCATCATGGACTAAAATCTAAGTTAATTGGACTCTTCTAGCAGCTTTAGGAAGGACGTCGAGCGCTCGATAGCTACAGCTTCGTTATACTCAAGTCACCTCACATAATCATATTGAACAAAGCCGAACAGTTAGGTTGATCCAAACCAACAACCACGATGGATTTCTCACTTGGGTCCCGACATCAAAATTCCGGATATTGAGAATTGGCGTTCAACCGCCTTAAAAGAGTCCGTAATGATGGCTTCCAAGAAGCGGAAGAGGTGTCCCCAATCTTCGACAGTATTGACCGCGATGAGGATGATACTATCAACCCCCGACTTCTCCGTTTCTTCTAGCGGTGGACTGAGATTCCCACCAGAACCAAGCCACACTACTATCACCTGAAACCCTAACGATATGGACAGGCGGATACAAGACCTCGTAGCAACTGTGCTGGTAACTCTGGCTGTTCCTCATGAAACGAGTCGGCGGAGAAGATCACCCCAACTCGATGGAGGCGAAGTTGAATGGTTAGTTATGTTGCTCGATCACTACCGCTAGAGGAAAACGCCACGCTTTCGATGAAGAGAGGATGAAGTTTTGCATGGGACATCCCATAGATATATTTTCGGTGGATCCCAGGCAGCCGAAAGCACTCGCTAGGAGCCGACGAGCATCGTAAGCCATTATCGTACTGGATATTTCACCGAAGGGGGAGTCGGAACCTCCTATTTTCAACAGTCGCAAGTCTGGAGCAGATGGGGTGCTTCACACTCATATTGTCCCTACTCTACAGTGGAGGCGGAGAGGCCATCGGTTGCCCATCTCGACCTTGCGAAGAGATATCCGCCGCTACCGAATAGGGACTGTGAGATGCAACCTATAGAAGCTGGCAGCCTCTTCGAGGTTGCAATAAGGTGCATTGTGAGGATCTTGAGACTATTCGCTGACGTCAATTGCTTTCGAGTAGAGTGAAAAGTTACCCGCTTCGCGGTGGGGTTAGAAGGCTCAAGATAAAGCCACAGTCCAAGCCTTGGGACACAGCTCTTTCTATTGGAACTGAATGATGACGATTGCTCGATGAGATTTATTTAGCTGTTGTGGTGATGAGTTCATATCAGACGGTTGGATGGCTCTCCATCCGCCGCTGTGACTTGATACAAGTCCTAAATAAACTGAAACCCCCAAGAGGATATCACATGCAGTAGAACTTACTGTAGAAGTGTTTTATGTCCTCGGGAACATGAACCGAATGTTGGACCCATTTCATCCCGTTCCACCTATTCCGCCTGAAAATATCTCCATCCGCAACCGTCCTCAGATGCCCCTAGGTACACATTTCTCCCCTCCCCGGACGGGAATTTGCGACGACCCGAAGCCGAGATTTAAGGAACTCCACGCCTCCCCGGGTTCCCCCCAACCGAACCATATCTCAAGCGTTCTATGGAGTGCGGAGCGCTAGCGCCGGGAATGAAGCTCCAGTCCTCTATGCCACCCGCAACGTGCTCCCCTCTCCTCTCTCGGTGCATTTCCAAGCAGCCAAAAATGGCGTTCGGCGTCCTGTGTTACTCGGTTGACCCGAGGATGTCGCCTAGTGCGATTACCGTCTGGCCCCAAGCGCCAGATCCAGGTCGATGGTGAGGCTCCTTTAAAGGGATCGGCCTGGAACATTCCGATCGCTGTCTGGGCTGTGGAACACTGTTTAATCGCGAGTAACCAATATCCTTGATTCTAAATATGACGGATTTGACAGGACGTACGGTGGTGGAGAAGACGTCGGAGGGATGGCGGTATCGAGCTGCGAAGACCTATCCATTCCCGGAGATCGACCTGCTTACTATGTTGTTTGGTATGGAATAATATGTCAAGCATGTTCAATCCATGGGAATTGCCATCTAACTTTCGGCACTAGAAAACGAGAAGTGCAAGGAGGACACACCAGTCCATATCGACGCGGCGAACCCAACTCTCCGGTACACCAAGGCCGAAGCCCGCGAACTACTCCAGTACAACGCACACATCCTCCGCCACCAGTACGGCATCGGAGTCAATGGTCCCAACACAGACGTCGTCACCTGCCTCGCCAGCGGCGACTATTTCCTCCCCGCCATTTTCTGGGCGATCGTCGCAGCCGACGGCGTCTTCTCCGCCGCCTCCGCCGCCTCGACGGCGGGGGAGCTGGCAAAGTTGATCGAGCAGGCCGGCAGCAAGCTGCTCATCGTCACGCCGGACTTGAAGGAGATCATCGTCAAGGCGGCGAAGCTCGCGGGCATCGGGACCGATCGTATTTTGGTGCTCGATGGGCCAGAGAAGTGCTTGAGGACGTTCCAGGGACAGAAGTTGGTGGCGCAGGGAAAGCTGCCATGGAAGAGGATCACGGATCGGAAAGCGTTGGATGACAGCTTGGTGGTGCTGATTTACTCCAGCGGGACCACGGGATTGCCGAAAGGTGGGAAGCAAGCCACTAAAATCCAGAACTTTGCTAATGCATCATAGGTGTCCGTCTGTCGCATACCAACCTTGTCTCCGAAGCTGTCATCCCGGGCGACATGTTCCTGGAGGGCATAAAAAGAGACAAACCCAACTTCGAGTATCGGACCCTCGCCCATCTCCCTGTCGCGCACATCGCCGGCATCCAAGGCTATCTGATCAACCCCTTCTACATGGGCGGTCCCGCCTACTGGATGCCCCGCTTCGACTTCGCCCAGTTCCTCGAATACAACCGCAAATACCGCATCTCGTTCTTCTTCACCGTCCCGCCGATTTATCTCTTGATCGCTAAGGCCCCCATCATCACCGATCATTTCGACTCCTTGGAAGTCGCCATCAGCGGTGCCGCGCCGTTGGGCAAAGAGCTGCAACATGCCGCTAGCCAGAAGCTCGGGAAGGGGAAGACATTCATCAGCCAGACCTGGGGGTTGAGCGAGTCAACGGGCAGCGCAACCATTATGCCATACGGCCAGGATGATGATACCGGAAGCGTGTCGGCGCTGATCCCGAACATGACGGCGCGTCTGGTGGATGACGATGGCAATGATGTCGAGCCCGGGCAGCCCGGAGAAGCGTTGCTCAAGGGCCCCGTCGTCACGCAAGGGTACCAGAACAACGATAAAGCGAACCAGGAATCGTTCATCGACGGATGGTTCTGCACCGGCGACGTCTGCGTGTTCAAGGACGGATTGTTCTACGTCGTGGACCGCAAGAAGGTATTCATCGTCTCCCTCGATTTTTCCCCAGGCAATCTTTACTAACCCCGTCTCAAGGAATTAATCAAATACAAAGGCCTCCAAGTCGCCCCCGCCGAACTCGAAGCCCTCCTCGTCAGCCACCCCAAGATCCTCGACGCCGCCGTCATCGGCGTCGACGCCGACGACACTGAAGTGCCGCGCGCATACGTTGTCGCCGACCAGGCGCAGATCTCTGCCGCGGACATCACGGACTACGTCAAGCAGAACGTGTCGAGCCACAAGCAGCTGCGCGGCGGCGTGGTGTTCTTGGACGTGATCCCGAAGAGCGCGGCGGGGAAGATCTTGCGGAAGGATTTGCGGGCGCTGGCGAAGAAGGAGACGGGGGCGAAGCTGTAAATCGGTTTGTTTTAGAGGTCTCCTTGCCTGTTGTATATTCTTCCATGTTGCTCCACTGTGCCATTGCGGTTTTGTGCCTTTGGAGAGGTTCTCATACACTACTTCCTTACGTATGTACCCTACGCGCGAGTCCCGGCACGCAATATATGTATTGAAGTTTCTCGACTGGTTCTCGATTGTCACCGCAATGGTGTACTACTGTAGGCAATCTCCATGCAAGGACCCAGACACCGAATGCGGACCGTCGTCATGTGTGATGTGTGACAGCTGTGCCGCCAGTCCAGAAACAGTCTAAAACAAATCGACTAGTTAGTTAAACCTAAGTCAAAAATCCATTAACTAGTACCATAACATCTCAACTGTGTTTTTATCTATTGTACCATACAGGTATCACCAAACACGCCAGTACAACGGAGCAAATATGAAATTCTGTATGTGGGTAGCCGGACTCTTCAAATTACCTGTTACAGTACCTGTCTCAGCTATAAACCTATGTTCATCCGGTCCTATGTTAGCTAGCTCCGCTCCAGTTATGATATTAATTTACCTGATGTTTGAATGGTCGAACATCATGGCTTCTGGAATTTCAATAACAGCTTATAAGACCAGAATGAATGCTGCGGTCGTCAAGCAACTGGACCAGTTGAGTCCGGTCGGTGCGGCCTTTACCTCTCTTCTCCTTCAATATGATCCTTCAGGTCGCCTCATTGATTGTGGGCGTATTGACATTGCTGAGGCCGGTTCTCTCTGAGCAACTTGCCTTCCCCGGTGCGGAAGGCTTCGGCCGTTATGCGACTGGGGGTCGAGGTGGCAGCGTCTATACCGTAACGAACCTCAAGGATAGTGGTCCCGGGTCCCTCAGAGATGCGGTCTCGAAAACAGACCGCATCGTTGTGTTTGCCGTGGGCGGGACGATCAACATCGAATCCCGGATTGTGGTCAGCAAAAGCGTGACGATCTTGGGCCAAACGGCACCTGGTGGTGGAAGTGCGTAGTTTCGCGGCTTTCAAGCATTGGTATCTAACTGGCATTAGTTACTACGTACGGCAATGGCTGGTCTTTCTCGAATGCGGATAATACGATTGCACGTTATATTCGCATTCGAATGGGCAAGGGTGGCGATGCTCGCAAAGACGGTATTGCGCTTGCGGAAGGATCCAATATGATCTTCGACCATCTATCCGTCACCTGGGGCCGTGACGAGACGTTTTCCATCAGTGGCGATGTCTCGAACATCACCATCCAAAACAGCATCATTGGCCAGGGCTTGGAACCGCACTCGTGCGGCGGTCTCATCCAGACAGACGGGGGAGTTTCGCTGTTCCGGAACCTCTACATCGACAATAAGACGCGCAACCCCAAAGTCAAGGGCAAGAACGACTTCACTAACAATGTGGTGTACAACTGGGGCGGTGGAGGGGCCTACATCGCGGGCGATTCGGACGGCAAGTCGTCCGCCAACATCATTGGGAACTACTTCATCTCCGGACCAAGCTCGTCCGGTGGAGCATTTACGCGCGGCAATGCCAACTTCAACGGATACGTACTCGACAATTTCTACGATCCGAACAAGAACGGCGCGCTCGATGGGACGGCCTTGGGCGCTTCGTCGTCGAACTATGGCGGCATGGCGCTGGCGTCAACCAAGTTCGACTATCCTGCGCCAGAGAAGATCCTAGGGGCCACGGATGCGGTAGCGCATGTCCTCAGTAGCGTTGGAGCATCTAAGGTCCGCGATCCGGTCGATACTCTCTTGATCAATGAGGTCAAGTCCTGGGGGAAGAATGGGAAGCTGATCTCGGATGAGAAGGCCAGTCCTGTCAATGGGCCTGGCGTTGTCGCTTCGGGGGCAGCAGCAAAAGACAGCGATGGCGATGGGATTCCCGACGATACTGAGACCAAACTTGGGAGTAGTCCCTCAGTTGCGGACAGCATAGAGGTTAAAGATGGCTATACGAATGTTGAGAACTGGGCCAATTCGCTCGTTCCATCCTCTTACTAAAGTCTTCATATTTAGCGTACGTCAATTTCGAAAGTTGATATTGAAGCCTGCTCTGGGTTATGCACGTATGCACCTGTGGAGAGCGCATCTGCCCAGGTGCGGTGAAGCCTTGCTTTGGTGCTTGGTTCGGTCGTGCATACTTCTTCCGAAGTCTTGGTTTCTTCTCCCGAATGTCGATTTTCTGTGCAGTGAAGGCACCCCGAATGCTCTGAAAATCTGGTCGGACCAACGCGTGACTGTCCATAGAGAATCGTCCAGTGACAACGACAAACGCGATGGCGACGGCGTAGCGTGAGATCATGCCATTCATGTGACCATCGTGCTCGACTGAACACCGATCTCCCGTTCTTTGCGTCTTCAGAGTGACTCGGATCTCAGGGGGAGCTGCAATGTCATCAGTATTACAGCGCGGGATAAAGTGCCCACTGAATCCACTGAGTCGACCAAACATGCCACCTGATTCCTGTCACTGAAAAAGACTCCCCGAAATCGCAACTCATCTCCAAAGGCGAAACGCCTGCCGCTTTGAACCCAGCACGATTAACCGTTCTTAATTCCCCGCCGTATGATACGTCGCGATATTATCGACCGGGATACGTAGCGTGCGCAATCACAACCTCCCACGTCGATAACGTGCTGGGCCAGTGGGCCTGCATCGCTAGCCGATGTTGTAATTGGACGATTTATCCCATTCGTCAACGCGGAGTGGCTAAGTCGCCAACTCGCAAGTCCCCCCGCATTTGCGGTTGGTCTCCGCGGGTATGGATTACGGAATCTTCCAATCGTCTAGGTAGTGGGCTAAGTCGCCCGATCGCCTCTCGTGTCGTCTCGGGAGGCAAAGGGAAAAGGTACGTATGAGGGTGTTGCGACGTCGGGTTGGGACATTGGGTGAAATTTCTTGTGCATGAGGAGGCAACTGCATTAGATGCTGGATGGAGGTACGTATGTACTAGTACGTACTCAGCGAGGCTCATGAACCACGTTCAACTTCCAAGGCGTCGGAATCCCATAGCAACCGACTGAGTATTCCCTTATTGTGGACCTCACAAGGCTTGCGATTCCAAATGTGAATCGCTAACGTATTGAGATTAAGCGCTGCCTAGCACCGCCAGCAACGAGGCTTCCGGCTCTCTGATCGATGCCTCTGGCCGTTTTCATCCTCAAATTGAAGCCTTGTGATTGTGACGTGCGTCCGCAAGAAAGCCTGACACAAGGCGAACAAACCGCGAAATTGAGGATAACTGAACTCTCGAGTCCCTGGACAAGGCATCCATGGGACAATCAGGCAGGCATCCTGCGGACCTGAGCGGACACTAAGAGGCGGGACGGAACGGGTGATGGAGGACCGTGGTACCGCATCCCATATTACAGACGCTGACGTTGATTAATTGATATCAATTAAGGCCCAAGACGAACGTGGAAGGGGTGCGAGATTCATCCTTCAAAGGCGATACTCGGGCGCATGGCGACTGTCGAGACGATCCTGCACGGCATTGAGGCAGCACCTCGTCGCGATGCAGCCACTATGGTCAAGCCATGTGGAAGACGCTCGACCATGGGGTATCTATTTGCCGTTGCCCCGCGAGGCGATCGACGTCGAATACTGCATGGCCTCACAATTCACATTTGCTCGACACCAATGGAAACGGGCGATGCATCTGAATCTTGCCTCGCCTGTCGCCCACTCTCTCTCACACCCAAGTAACTGCAGCAATTGAAGAAGCTCCGCTGCTGTGGTGCTCACTGAGGGAAAGGGACGGTGCCCACCCGCTTCGTCCGGAGCTAGCTCGTACGTGTATGCAAGGTGATCCGTTCTGGGTTCAGTAAGCCGGACCACTGTTCGTGCAGCGTATCGAGAGATGGAGTTGACGAGAATCGAGTGGGGTCCGATGGAGAGCTCTCGAGACTGTGATGCGATTCGGGGGATGGGAGCCTGGTGGACAAGTCAAGCCTTGATTGGCTCGCAAAGCGCCCAGGAAGAATCACCTGGGAGCATCGAGGCCTTTTCCCCGCGGTCTATCACGTTCGAGCAACATCGTCCAGGGCCTTTCACCGATGGGAATCACCGATGGGAATCACCGCGTTCGGAAAGGTGCAACCCCATCTCCATCGCCTTGGGTCTCGATATAGGCCACCAACAAACCGCTTAGCTACGTTGGATGTCCGGGGTGAGATGGTGTGCGACCAATTAATCAGGGCACGACGTGGGAATGTGACATTCTGGAGTTTCCGTCAGGGCTCGCTCGTCGCCCCAGTGACCTCGTTCGACCGCCGCGACAGACATGAAGGGTCATGGAACAGGACATGGAATGTCTGACCGTGGGGTCCAGGTCGAATGATTGCTCGTCTCTGAGTGGCGTTGTGTTTCCACGTACCGACAAGCAAATCTGACTTTAGGCAAGAAACCATGCGGTCAGGGCAGTCAATCAGGGCAATCAGGGCAATCCAGATGGTGGCTTTGGGATGGAGGGCGGATCGACCACTTCGCTGTTCATTGTTCATCATTTATCATCTTAGCTTAGGGATTGCTAGTCTAAAGATTAGCGTTGAGGTATTCTGCAGTCATCGAGGCTTTGCTGTCTATGCCGATTGCGGTCTTCCTATTCTTATCCAGAGTTGTTGTACAGACCTGAGGACAGAAAGGCTACTAGGCGCATGATCCATTCTCTTAACGTGAATCTGTACCGAGTGAATCCCCACCGAAACGGGACCATTCACGTCCATTCATGCCTCACGGGATGCCATAATGCCAGCCTAGGCTCTCGAGAGTCAATCAATCACCCACATCCTGACCTAGGCGGACTTGGGCCGACCATTCCAGCCCATTCACGATCCAACTCGTTGCCCCGAGAATTGTAGCGTTTGCAAAAACGCGTCACGAGAGAGAGGAAAAAGTGAAAAAGTGAAAAAGTAAGAAAGTTCTTGCATTCACTTGGATTTGGAACATTCGATTTGATGAAGACTGGCTGCGGGACAGGATTTGATTTGAACACTCCCAAGATCGGGTGTTGGCACTGCGGCATATCCAGGAGGCTTGTGCCTATTACGCCCCTTGCGCCGCTGTCGCAGTTTGTTCTCACATCACCCGGAGACTGCACTTCACCACGCAGATCACGCAGCCGGGGACAATTAAACTGCTCTCCCCGCTCGCCAGCTTCCCAGTCTTGTTGGACTCCTCGTCATCGATTGTTCCCTCCTACAACTATATCATACTCACTCATCTTCGACTCATCATCGCTGGACTCATTTGCCTGACGACTATTCTACTCCCATTCTTCTCATTGATATTGCCTATTAATTCTTCCACCTTCTCTCATTCTCCATTGCTCAGCCCCCCCCGACTTTCCGTGCCTGTATCACCCCTTCGTTCGCCACCCTGGTATCTCCGATTGGCTACCTCCTGGTATCACCAACGGTCAACTCCTTCTCCTGTTGATATTCTTCTGATTTGGAACGTATCTTACGAAGGACAATCCTTCATTAATCCTCGGATCCTTTCCATCCTGTTCTTCTTCGGAGGAACTTTCGATCATCGGCCTATCCGTCCTCCAACCTCCGACGTTCCATTGCCATCCTATCCCCACAGGCCCAATCACAAAGGCAGTCGATATACCACGCCGTTTGCCTCCGGTCGCAGTTTTTAATCCCGATTTTCCCAGTATTCAAGACTCTCGACGCTGGACCGTCGGTTTCTACCGTTTCACACTCTCCAGCCTCTTTTCCATATTCCTCGGAGGGAGTTATCGTGTAACTTGCGTGGCCCGTGGCACAGCTAAACACCTCGTCGATCGTGGTGTTTGGATTCTTCAACATTGCTTTTGCTCAGTCTGACCCCTATCCCTTTTAACAAGCCTTCGAAAACAATCAACGACTTGGACGAAAACAATTCTTTCATCGCATTCGCCTCCGCAATAGACCGACTACGATCTTGTAATGACCTGACCCTTACTCCCGAATCCTCAACGAACACAAAGTATGGACTTACCTCTTCCTTTTGATGCCTATGCTGCACTCGGAGTCAGCAATACGGCGGACTCCGCGGAAATCAAGAGCGCATATCGCAAACTTGCGCTGATCACCCACCCTGACAAGTTCCCGGACGAGGCCATCAAGAAACAGAAAGAAGACGAATTCCATCGCATTCGGCAAGCCTACGAGAAGGTCGGCGATGAGGATGAGCGGAAGAAGTACAATGCCGCGGTGCGGATGCATGCGAAGTTCGCCGAAGTTCAGAATCTTCGAGCCTCTGGTCCATCTGCGTCATCGCGACCACACCCGGTGAGACGAAGCGCGACGTTCGCCGAATATGGCGGCCAGGCTTCCTTCACGACAGGTCCTTCATCGGGCGTGAACTACGAGTTCCGGGCACCCAAGCCGGACTACGATGATGACTTGCACATTAGTGCCTCTCACCAATACCAGAAACGGTCCTCGACCCTCAATCCCCACGACAAAGTCCGATCCAGCCCACGGGAAGGGACCACGAGCGCCGAGCGTCGAGCACGTAGGGAAGGGGATAAACGCCGAGATGAAGAACATCGACGAGCGCGTGACTATAAGTACGCCCCCATGAAACCGGAAGACGATCGAGCGAGGTTCGAAGAGGAAAGGAGACGGAGAGATCGGGATCAAGTGGAGCGACAGCGACGAGCGGAGGATCGATTGAGGGAGGACAAACGGCGGGATGACGCTCGTCGCGAGGACTCACGCCGAGAATCTTCCCGCAAGGACGCCGCTCGCCGGGATGACGAGTTTCGGAAGGCGGAGGAGTCGGTTCGGGAGGCGAGGTCCGTCCGGAAGAAGTCCTCGCCCGTGGATTCCTACTATGATTCGGTGGACCATCATGCGAAGAAGGTAGCCGATCAAGAGAGCTCGGCCAAAGCCCACATCAGCCGCATGTCCGGCCACCGATCGTCCGACGAGGATCGTCCTCGGGCGGAGCGGTCGAGCTCGAGTCGAGAGCACGCCCAGGTCCGACGCTCACGAGCCAGTGCGAAAGAGTCGGGACGAAGTAGCGGTCGGAAGGGCTCGTCCGACCGTGAGCGCAAGCTCTCACTCCATCCCGAAGTGTCGGCGCCGCCCCGAGTGTCAACCCATTCTCGCGGCCACCCCGAGCCGAAGAGGAGCTACACCACGCAAACGGACTATGACTCCCATCGTCAAGACCCCGAGCCTCGTCCCGGTGTCCTCCCCAGAATCCACACCGAGCCCATCGCCCCCACCATTTCCTCCCGGCGCGAAAAGACCTCCTCCTCCCGCCTCCGCGACGACTCCGGCT